ATGTGTGGAGACCTCCTCTTTTGTCGTTGGTATGTGAAACAAGTAACAGTTCACTTTTTCCACAAGTCTCTTGGGAAATTGGGCCAGTTTTCAGATTTACAGCGATGCTGTGGGTCATTGCAAAGTTTTCAGAGGTATCCTGGGCACAGTTACAGCTGCTAGGCTATAAAGGACCAACTGGGTGAACCAATTTGGTACAGCATCACCATGAGGCAGACGAGTGCTGCATCTCTAGTTAGTTAAGAATACCAAAGACAGAAGCTCGCTGACTGTGGGTGAAGCAGCTAAACAGCTAACACTATTTTTATTTTTTACCTACACTCTTTAAAAGATGGTTCTTCAAGGGTTATTTAGCAAAGAAAATGGTTTTATATAATATCACCAAACACTCAAAGAACACTTTGCATGATTAAAAGGTTCTTTCCATTGTGAAAGTGTTCTTCAGATTGATGGAGAATGTGTTGTAGAACCAAAAAGGGTCACAAGCCAAAGAAGCCTTTTTGGTACTATATAGAACCTTTTTAGCTATGAGTGTACTTTGGTAATGCTGGTAACATTTTATTTGGAGGGGTCCTTTGTAGATGATTAATAAACTCTTAACAGATTATCAGTAACACATCAACAGCATATTAGTGAAGTAGCAGTAGTGAAGCATCTGAATACATTGAAGTAAATATCTTGTAGATGTTCTGTTGATACATTACATACATTAAGTAGATGTACTGTTGATATGTTACTTTGATTATGCAAAACCTAACCTTACCCAACCCTACCCAAAACCTAATCCTAACCCTGGTTCTAATCCTATCCTTAACCTTAACCTCAACCCAGAACCTAATCCTAATCCAAAACCTAATCTAATCCCTAACCTTAACCTCAACCCAAAACCTAATCCTAATCCAAAACCTAATCCTATCCCTGAATTTAACCTCAACTCAGAACCTAATCCTAATCCTCACCCTGGCCCTAATCCTAACCCTAACCTTAACCTCAACCCAAAACCTAATCCTAATCCAAAACCTAATCCTAACCCTCACCCTCCCCTAATCCTTAAACTCAACTCAAAACCTCATCCTAACCCTTACCCTGTGTTACGCTTCTTGGTTCTCATTCGGACTCTCAGACCATCAAGGACTCCACTTCCCAGAATCCTTCAGTCAGTCACGAGACTCTTCCAGCCAATCACAAACCACCCAGCAGATCACAGTCACCTGAATACTAATCATCACCTGTTTTACTCTGTATAGGTACCTGTCTGTTTGAAACTTCTCTTTGCGAAGCATTGTCCCTGCTAAGTCTGTGCAGACCAAGCCGGTTGTTGTTCTGATTGTCGTTCCATGTTTGGCCTCGCTTGTTTTTTCCCGTTTTCGGTTCTCGCGTCTGTTTTGGCTTTGTTGTTTTGGTATATGTGCTTTCTCTGGTTACGACCCTCGCCTGTCTATTTGGCTTCGCTCTCGCCTATGCCTCTGGATTTTGTCTGCCTATTCTGGTTATTGACCTGGTCTGGTGTTAACCCTGTTTACCCCCGTCTGAATAAATCTTTCGGGTTCACTTTTATCCACGTGTGTCTGATCTGCAAACCCAGCGGTACACCCTGACCCTAAGCCTATCTTTAACCTCAACCTAAAACCTAATCCTAACACTCAACCCTGCTCTAAATCTAACCATAACCATAACCTCAACCTAAAACCTAATTCTAACTCTCACCCTGCTCTAAATCTAACCATAACCTCAGCCTAAAACCTAATTCTAACTCTCACCCTGCTCTAAATCTAACCATAACCTCAGCCTAAAACCTAATTCTAACTCTCACCCTGCTCTAAATCTAACCATAACCTCAGCCTAAAACCTAATTCTAACTCTCAGCCTGGTCCTAAATCTAACCTTAACCTCAGCCTAAAACCTAATTCTAACTCTCACCCTGGTCCTAAATCTAACCTTAGCCCCAGCCTAAAACCTAATCCTAACTCTCAGCCTGGTCCTAAATCTAACCTTAACCTCAACCTAAAACCTAATCCTAACCCTAAAATGAACCAAAACCTAATCCAGTGAAGCTCCAGTGACAGAATGGTGTCAGTGTGTCTATAACAGCATGTTGAGGATGTTGAGATGGTCTGTATTAGATCTGTTACATGTTCAGTGACCTCTACAGACATGAACTCTACAGATAAAATGAAAAACAACTGAATTCAGCAGATTATAAACAAATTTTATCTCCTCAGTAAATTCAAAGTCTCTTGATAATCTACTGAATGCATTCACTGGTGCTACATCATTGAAGTGTTGTTGATATGTTACTGAGAGTCTGTTGAGTGTTTGTTTCTAAACAGGACCACTCAGAATAAAGGATTACCGTAATGCTTACTGGTTTACATTTTATTTTGTCTTTTTTACTGGTTTGATATTTTCCTATGTTTTACCTTTTTATTTCAATGTTTATTACCCTTTTCAGTGTTCTCTGTTCTGATGTTCAATTACACTGCAAATGTGGGTCAGCCTCGATTGATTGATCGATTGACTGACTGACTCACTGATTGTGTTGGTGGTTACTCTGACACATGAGCTTTTGAGTTCAGCTCCTGAAGCTCTAGTGGTAAACAGAGCTTGCTTGGCTCTATCTACCACAGAGAAAATGTCAGTCAGCGTGTCTGTTGGTATTTTTCTTTGCGTTGGTGGCTGAATCATGACACTCATTACAGTAATGTTAGATTAACCATTATCAGGAATCCGTTTTTCCCTTGAGTGCTGACACTCTGTGATGGCTGATGGTAGCCAGAATGCAACAACTGTCTCTGATATATTGGTCCAAACTTTTTTATTTCATTATATTAATTTAAAAATGCCTGAACTGATTTCCATTGGCCACAAGGAATGGCCACTAGATGGCGACCAAGGGCAATTTAAACAGTGATGTGTTACACTTTTTCATTTCAGGATAAGGCGGTCGTTTTACTGTAACATGTTACTTTATACCAACAGAACTGGTTTTCATTGTTGATTCTTGAATGATGAGCTCTGTCTAAGGATTCTAGGAGAGACCCTCCTCAGCGCTGTAAACTTTACACACATTTTCAGTCATTTTAACAGACCACAGACCACAGTTAACACACTAGCAAACACAACTCTGAACTGGTTTTCCCCCAAAATCATACACGATCTGTGTCCAAGCTGTGCTCTCTCCGCACTGTCATTCTGTCTGCACTGTGAAGCTTTAAGGAAATGAAGTCTTCTAGTGAGGATTACTGAGCTGAATTAAACGACACACTGCCCTCTTGTGGACACAGCAGGTCACTGCATGGTTGTTGTGTTTCATGTCCAGTTAAAAGTGCTGAATTTGTTAGAAAATGCTTCAATGTGTATCACTCAGGCAGTGGTTCCCAACTCCGTTTCTGGACCCCCTCATAGTTCTGTGTCACCTAGATGATAATCACCCTCTTCTTGAGCTGATCCAGGTGTTAAAGCAGTGAAAACACAAAGTCATGTGTTGTGGGGAGACTTGAGCTGGGTAACACAGTACTATGGAACTATTTTACCTCTAAAATAGTCCATGTTTAGCACTTCTTCTCAAGGAATGCTGACCTGGGGCCAGTTTACATCTTTCATATTATACTGAACAAGATTACAAAAAAACTCATTTCACCTAATCTGAGATCACTGTTCTTACTCTGAGGACTTGTCTCCCGGAGATGGATTAAGCCTAGTTTGGACTAAACTGTAAGCTGTAAAGAGGTTTCACTATAGAAAAAAAAAAAATCATATTTAGTGTCATTTTAGTGTCAAGTCTCAATCAATTTATACCTTAAAATATATCTTTACTTATATTAGGAACACAGAAACACTTAAAATGTCCATTTTGTTTATTAATGAGGTAGTAATTGTTATAATATTAACTGCATATTGATATGTAAATTCATTTAATGGCATAATTGTTAGTATTATTATTATTACTGCACAAAGACATGGCTGAGCCCCTGAAAAACTGGGCCAACATCCCCGCCCCCCCATGATTTTTAGAATGTACTTTTTTAAATTACCATTTTTTAGTGCATTTAATATTATGCAATTTAATTGATCAGCAGATCAGATGATGATGGCCATTAGTTTAACCCTTCATCACAGTAGCCATAAAAAGCCATTTCAGCCTGTTTTGGAGATTCCTCAGTCCAGTCTTAAATTACATTATATTTTGAATTAATTTGGTTGCACTTATCAAAACATCTGACAAGTTGATTTCCATTCTGCCAGTGGAATGGCCACTAGAGGGCCTGCAGAGAGAGGTTAACATGCTGAAGTAGATGATCTCTGTGACGCCAGGCTGTTAAATTCAGTAAAAACCCATTTACATGGAACAGGCCTGCTGTATGTCAAACAACTGTTTGATGTAGCTGCCTCAATGCAGTGGTCAACTGGATCTGGATATTGGATAATCTGTAGTGCTTAACTGTTGAAGTATAAATACAATTACTTTGGAAGTAAACATTTTCATGAAACAGCAGAAAGGATCTAATACGATGAGAAGAGGACAGAGCACTTTGGCAGCACCAAAAAACTGGTGGCAGTAGTGGTCAGCATCAATAATAACACTAACAATATAAACAAAGCAATAGCATTCAGATCAACTAGCAAGTTAACACAATACTAGACAGGCAGTACACAGTCAGCAACTTAGTGACTTTCTGATGAAAATCGAACTTCATAGTATTACAAGGGTGATTTGACCTGTGTCTAGTGGGACATCTTACCCCAAAGGTACTTTACTTTTCAACTATTATTAGCCATTCAGTAAATGTGTTAACATTGGATGTAGCCCCATCGTTTGATCAGGAGAGAAAATAAGAAGGGCGGGGGGAGCGCATCTTCCCCTGGGGGGCTTCTTCCCCCAAGTTAACTGTAATGTCATTTGGGAATCAGCTTACATCAACTATACATACAGTCTTAACTAGTAACCGGACTAGAACAGAACTGCTATTGGAATGCTGAAGAACTGTCTTGACAACAAATTCATAAATACAAAGTGTTTTATTCAAACAGTTTGCATGAACACACAAATCGTATCCAAGATAACATGTGCAACATTTGCAGGTGAAAACTGTTTTGGGTGTGTTTGTGTGCGTATGTGTGAGCAGGGTGCTCCCATTTCAATGGCTGGTATCTCTTAAGGCCTGTACATGTTCCTGAGGAAGATAATACACTGGACCCTGTTATCATCCCTGTAGTGTGGGGTGGTCTGGGTGGTCCTGCTGCACCAATTACTGAACGCTCAGTAGGAAGGCACTTCAAGATACAGCTATACAACACCACCCAGGAGAAAGCACCACTGCACCATTCATACAGTACATTAGCACATTTTCATTTCATACCAAGAACCCCAGAACAAAGTGTTTATAATGCCTAAGTCATGTGTAATGACACACTGGGACACTTCTGGCTTGAAATCTAGCTGGTGGTGTTGCTTTTTATTAAATGATTAAATGGTGTGACATAATAGCAGCAAATAAGACAATTAAGATATTAAAGGGCCCGTTTCCTACATTTGTCTTGCTTTTTATTTTTTCCAAGGTCCATTTATAACATTTGTAAGGGTTTATGTACCAAAAGAAGTGGCAATTCATTATAAGCTGATCATTTTACAGCCTCTCTATGTCCCTTACAAGTAAACAGGTTGGGTTTGTTATTGTGCCTTTAAGCCCTAAACGTAAACAAGCTCTATTCTGATGTGTTGCCTGGTACTGCGCCTCAATCAAAAAGCAGTCCAGGCTGAAACACTCCTTATAACTTCAGCATGAATGGGCAGGGCTAGACTGCTGTGGACCGAATAGACGTATGTGTAAATGTGTTCATTTCTGTGACATCACAGAAACATTGAATTCAAAACAGGCAGTTTTTGCAGCTCAGTTTCTATATATGGACTGTATGGAGTGGACAGTGAACAGTTTGTTTTGAAGTGTTGTTTACATCCTACAGCAAACTCTTATTTCAAGAAAGTGAGAAAAATCAGTTTTCCACATTATGGGCCCTTTCAGACAGATTCCATTTTAAATTAAGACAAACTTGTGTTAAAAGGATTAATCAAATTATTCTTCATATGAGAAGGTCTATTTAGTGACTAGTCAGTTTTATGTAACTATGTAAGATTATAGCCTTTTCTTGATAGGATTTTCCTGTAATTTCTCAGGATCCTTAATATTTCACACATTATTTAGTGTAATTGCACTGAAAATAATTGATGCATCAAATTTCTTTGAGTTGAATGTGCCCATCATTCCACAGGAATAAAATACAGTGAATCAACACAAATTTATCTTTCAGTTTACTTACTTTTGGCAAAAACTGTGTTGGTGTAAAACATTTCATTCCTGTGGAAACAATGTGCACATCTGAATCAAGCTGAACTCAAGGCATTACCTTTTTCATCCAGTTGGAATGTTTTAGTGTAAAAACGATTTAACACAATTTTCCACTTTCTCCAGGTATAAGTGATCAGCCAAGAAGTGTTTGGTGTCCAAATTTTGCTGAGTTTCGCTCCTGGAGCTATGAGACTAATGTTGCTAACAAACACTAGAACTCAATAGTCACCCAAATCTTTCTGTAAATACGTCCCCAAAAGTTTTCTAAACCTGCTCAAAACACATCCATGTCTTCATTAAGGTCGGGCAGGCTCACTAATGTGGTTTAGGACACAGTATGACTTACAGTTCACTTCAAAAATGAACAAAACTTTACTGTGTAGGCAGGCATACGGACATCAATGACCATTTCTGTGGTTTATTTATAAACAGATCTTCAATTCACATTTTAAGATTCAACAGTTAATTATAAAATAAACAATAAAAGTTGTGAACATAATCTGCAGCATCCACACATCAGCGAATCTGTGAAGAGTGGGACGGAATTCGGCGCAACACCTGTTCTCTAAAATGACCCCCAGCATTCAGTTACATGGTGCAGTTTTGTGCATTTTTATTGTACACAGCAAGTTATACTGAGTCCTTAACCACACTGTCAATTATGTATAGACTTATTAAAGCTGGTTGAGAGACGTTTACTTAAGTATATGTATTTCTATTTACAGAAAAGATTTGGGTGACTATTGACTACTACTGTTTGTTAGTGACGTTAACCTCGTAGTTCAGAATCTAGGCACTAATCATGCTTTGGCTGATCAGTTACATCTGAGTTGAAAGATGTGGAAGAATTGTGTAAATTTGATCTTTTACTGAACCATTGCTTTCAATGTCAATAAAGACTAATTTAATTACAATTGAATGTTAATGAAACAATTAATACAGAGAGGCATAGACAGAGGGGCAGAGAAAAAAGAGAGAGATAAGACAGAAGAAACTGAGGGACAGCACTCTGATCTCTGTTCTGTGGTCCAAAGGTTGGAGGCAGTGAGGTGCAGAAGGCACTGGGTTCTACAGCTCCATCTAAACAGTCATCCACAAACAAAACTATTTTTTGGTCTAACGGCTGCAACGTTTGGTCTTCAGAGCTCTTCTTAGCTTCTAGAGCTTGTAAATGCTTAGAAGACACAAAGAAGAAGGAATGAGCTTTCAGGTTGTGTAAAAGAGGCGAGTTTCAAGGTTTTCATGAGCCATCATCTGGCTGGAAAGGCCAAACTTCACACCAATGCTTACCTGGTTCTTAAAGGAAAAGTTCCGCCAGAAATCATATTTACACAATTTTTCAACCAGCCAAGACGTGTTTGGTGTCTGAAGTTTGCTTCTTTTGCTTTGCTTTTAGCAAAAAGTACACGGCATAGCTAAAAACAGCAGTAGCATCCATGTTGAAGTCTGAGTTGTGTTGATATTTTGTCCATTTTTATATCTCACACAGTGTCAGAAACCTTATACATATGTCTATCTGTGATTACTTAGCAACTCAACACAGTTTGAACCCAGTGTTATGACCTCTACGTGTTACATGCTAAGCGTCTGACACCAAACACATCTCAGTTGATCAACTATATTTGGGGTCAACTGTACAAATTCGACCTTTGGCCGAACTGTCACCTAAAACCGTTTCCTTGGTATCAGCACCAGCACCTCATTTGTAGAAAAGCAGTAAACTGAGATATCAATTGAGCTCCCACTGAGCTCTTCTCTCAGTCCATCACAGGTGTTTCCCTCGACCCTCTGAGATCACAAGCTCAGGTGTGGCTCGTGTGTACCACTCCATCCAGCCTCCGTCATACACCGAAATGTCTGAATGGCCGCACTGGTGGGCTGCCAGGGCAGCGAGGCACGCGGTGATGGCCGAGCCACAGGTCACGCACAGCGGCCACTGCAGGTCTACTCCGGCCTGCTGGAACACGGCCCTCAGCTGATCCGGAGAAAGAAACAGCCCAGAGGGAGCCAGGAAAGTGGTGAAAGGGATGTTGATGGAACCGGGGATGTGGCCGGGTTCAGTGTCTGAGACATACACATAAGAAAAGGAGACAAATGAAGGTCTGTTAGAAGTACCCCCAATTTGTCCCCCGTCCAATCTACTTTATAGGTCCCCTATACAAATACAGACTGTATCATAAGGCAGTAGTTGGCTGATGGTTTCATGGCATATCTTTTTTTTTAATAAAACCATTTTAGATGCTTAAGTAAACCTATTTTTGTATGTGGCTTATTATTCTAGGATGTCCTTTTACTTTTCATTAAGAGCCAGTTATAACAACCAAAGTTTCTATCTTCCTAAATAAAAATAAAAGTGAACAAACTATAGATAAACCTATGTCAAGCTTGCTTTCTAACACCCCACAGGCCCAACAAAAGGCTGCTAAATGTTGTTTCCCGTCTTCATTTCTAGGCTGAAGTTGGTTTCTTATTCAGCTGCTTCTTGTTCTAATCTTTCAGCCTAGAAATCTTTTGTTCCACCTTAAATGGAGCATCAGTTACATTCTGCTCGTTGTTAACCGTCCCTCTCAAACAAGTTAACTGCGGCTCCATTTGTTAGATTTTATGATGCTGAAACTTTGAAACTCAGGCCCCTGGTCAGTGACTTAAGTTGAATCCGTGTACATAAATGATCAAACTGAACTCCGGCCTTCTGGGGGCCCTCAGGCTATACAGCATTCTAATCACGTAAACTCTACTGAATGTCAGGCCCTCCAGCCCCCTAGAGTGCTGATCAAAGTTTAACCGCCCCCACCCGCTGCAACTGCACACACTCGTTTACATTAGGGCTTAAAAAGCAAATGCGTACCCTAGATCAGCAAGTTGAGAGGCATGACCCCTGGACTCACTATGTTGGTGCACAACAGCACGTATGCACACGGTGAACAGACAATGCAAGCACAGTATGCAGACCAACACTGCATACAACTAAAGATAAGGTGCATGTGTAACATTAACTCACTGACTGATAATGCTGAGTTGGAGGGAGAGCAAAACCAGCATGTATTGAGAAGATCCAATAGATACGACTAGGAACTTGGTTTTCATCTGTGAGAATGAGAATTTGACCCTCATGACCTTTATCTACTCCATCATCTCCTAAATTACTGAGTCCTCTATAGTTCTTTATAAGACTAAAGGGGCAGTGAAGTTTGTTAGACTCAAATCTTCACTTTTTAGGATCTGATGGGTCTAAAACAAGATTCTAAAGTTCCAGAGTGAGAGATGTGAGCAAAAGTAGAGCAGCCCAGGAGCTCAGCCAACACAGCATAATGGAATTAAACCCAAAATGAAAAAGGAACTAAATGCGAAAGTTTAAAATGGAACTGAATCTCAAATGTCTTCCCACTTCCTAATCAGGCTTCTAAATAAACACACAGTCACCCTTTTTTCAGCTTCCTTCTGTCTTTTTATCCTCTTCTTGCATGGAAATTTATGGAGACAACTTCAATCCTCTTTCACTGGTCTGCTATTAAATTTCAACACTGTTACAACACCAGCTACTCAAACTGCAGCCTAAAACTACCAATGCAACTACCACACTTGATAAAGCTTGCTTGTATTTTTGTGAGGTTGCCAGTCTTATTATGTCAGCTCAGTGCATAGCAGTGATAGCCTGCATGTAGAAATAGTCATATTTTGACTTTTTAACAGCTTGGGAGGAAAAATGTCCGGATGGCAAAGCATGTTGGCTTTGGAACTTTTGTTTACTGAAAGATGCCATTAGCCCTATTCGGACAGGATTACATTTACATGGTGTCTTGTAGTAATTCCCTCTTTTAGAGATGGCTCTCTGTGATTTTATTTCCGTGTGGATCAGCAATGTTTGTGTTTTTCCTCCCTCCTCCCCTGACAAAATGATGGACCTATTTATCTGCTGTTTTTCACCAAACTCAGTGGTTGTCTGATAATTTCTGCTCTGTCTGGATACGCATCCTTGATTTTGGTGGATTTTCCAGCCAGATGTTCCATCGCATTGGAAAAAAGTGTTTTTTGACCGATACTATTCACCAGATTTAGGCTTCATGTGTATCCATATTAAACATTTTCCCAAACGCAAAACCATGGATGCTTTGGAAGTCTTTCAATCATTTACTTGATCTGAGTGGTAGAACTTCTTCTCCATGAGTTTTATCACTTGTTTGTATTTTTTTTTACAGACATACCCCTGATAAACTAATCCAATCTGAATAGGGCTATAGCAGCGATTTCTGAAAACGTCATTCATTTTTCCCATAGAGAAAACCAGCTTCGACCCAGAGCTCCTGATATAGACATGACGCCAATTACAGAATGATGACTTCAGGGGTCCGTACACCTACTAAACCAGCTTATTCTCATATGATATCATACATCAGCAAAAGCTGAAATCATGGAAGTAGTTTGGGTGACTATGCTGTCTTTCCAAGTTACCTGCTCATTTAAATAGAACAGAATAGTATAGTATGTTTACAATTGCAAGCGTGTTTCATATTAGAGCCATCTATTATAGTCTACGGAAAAGGTTATATTTAAATCAGGTGTGCCTGAGCAGGGGAATCAAACCTGTGCTGTATGAAGGCTCCCAGAAGTAGACACCCCTGCCTTAAAGGGGAATTCCAGTCATTTTGTTTTTTTATTTCTGCATAGTGATTGAAATATGAACATAGTAATTTAGAGTGCTTTGATGTGAAATGGTTCATTGTAGAGAAACTTACGGACTGCTTTCTTTACAGTGGTGGTGATAGGACCCAGGGGTCACAATGTCTACAAGACAAATATAGCCATTTTATTTGTTATCCTACATGACCAGTGGACCTACATGTGTCTTCTGGTTTATTATATGTAATGTTGATGATGGTAAAATAGTGGAAAATCTGAAAAAAAAAAAGTTTTCTTTGGGGACTATGTTGCCTTAGGACATCCTGAACGTACCCCTCCGCCCTGAACACATTTAAAAAAGAACATTAACGTTAGTAAAATAAGGTGTCAGGCATCAGGCAGTGTATTCATAACCATTTCATGTAATAACTTTCTGTGAAGGAGCTTCTAGAGGTAGTAAAGTACTCAGGGTGACTTTGTTTACATGTTAATGATTTAATTATGCAGAAATTTTGAAAAACTGGTGGAGCTCCCCTTTAAGCCCTTGCAGACTTGGGATGTAAAGGTGAAACTGGGACGGGGCCTTACTGTCTCTGGGCTCCGGGTCCGTTCCTCTGAATCTCCCGGCAGGCCGCGCGTCCACCAGCTGGAACTCCTTGGTCTCCACGTTGTCCAGGATGTCCTGGTACGTCTTGACCCACGCGCGGTTAAGCGTGGCGGTGAACTCTGTGGGCTCGTGCTTCCGGGCCTTGCCCTCCTCCACCGGCTGTCCGTCTCTGATCCAGGCGTGCAGACCGCCGTCCAGCACGGACACGTCCGAGTGGCCGAACACGCGGAACATCCACCAGGCGCGCGGGGACGAGAAGGCGCCGTGCTCGCTGCGGTCGTACACGACCACGTGAGAGCCGGGGGCCACGCCCAGCCTGCTCGCGAACTCGGCGAAGGCGAAGGCCGGAGGCAGCATGTGGTCCATCGGCGAGCTGCGGTCGCTGCATCTGTCCAGGTCGAAGAAGGAGGCGCCGGGGATGTGGCGGGATCTGAACTCGCTCTTGGCATCTCGGCCATGTTTCGGCAGGAACCACGAGGCGTCCAGCACGCGCACGGCGGAGCCGCGCGCCCGCAGCGCCTCGGAGAGCCACCGGGCAGAAACGAGCGCTTTGGTCTGGAAAGACATCGGAGTGGAGGAGGTAAACAGAGATGACTCAGAATGAAAGCTCCTCTGACTTTCATACACGCGCCCTGACACTTCATTCAGCCTGCAGGCGCACAGAGGGGGCGTTACCCGGATCATAGGGGGCGTTACCCGGGAGCAGAGGAGGCGCTATCCGGAGCAGAGTTCCTACTACAACAACATCAACACTACAAGAGAGGGGGCGGAGCATCTACAGGAGTGGAACCGGGAAACATCTGCAGCATTTAGCGGACTCTCTTATTCAGAGCGACTTACAAAAGTGTTGTTGTCTGTATCTTAATTAGTACAAATAGGTCAGAGTAAAACTACGCCTGAGCTCACATACTGCTGGAAACAAAAGCCTTAATACCTGGAGAAAAACAAACTGAATTAGACATAGTGCAGTACAATACATTTCAATAAGTACTTATATCAGTGTTTATAGTACTTATATTAGGAAATACTGCATAATTTTGGAAACTGTAACTAAAATTTTAATAATTACGTAGTTACATAATTACGTAATAAATAATAACAATAATAATATCACAGCAGCAAGTATCATTATTATTATTGTTATATTTCTGTTGATGTATTCTTCTTCCTTTTCATCTTCTTTGCATTATTATAATTAATATTGATATTTATGTTTAAACAGTATCCTGATCTGTAGCCTTAAAAATGTGTTTTTTATTCAATTTAAATTTAAATGTTTAAATTCAAATGTGTCATTAAGTTATTAAAAATAATTACATTGACACAGTTTTTCCAAAAGTAAGTAAACCAAAAGCCAGAAATTTCACACATTCCAAAAAGATTGGGTCAAGGGCAACAAAAGACTGATATAGTTGTATAATGCTAAAAAAAAAAAAAAATTCCAGAGAGGCTGCATCTTTAAGAAGTAAAGATAATGAGGGATTCACCACTCTCTGAGCAACTGTGTGGGCAAATAACAATAGCAAAGGATTTGGGGATTTCATCATCTATGGTACATAATATTATTAAAAGATTCAGGAAATCTGGTGAAATCTCTGTGTGCAAGAGGCAAAGCCGAAAACCAATATTGGCTGGCTATGATCGTCAGGCCCTCAGGCAGCACTGCATTAAGAACAGACACGATTCTGCAGTGGAAATCACTGCATGGGCTCAGAAACACTTCTGAAAACCACTGTCTGTGAACACAGTTCATCACTGAATTTACAAATACAAGATAAAACTCTACCATTCAATGAAGAAACAATATAAACAAGATCCAAAAATGCTGCCACCATCTCATTTAAGATGGACCGAGACGAAGTGGAAAAGTGTCCTATGTTCCAGTGAATGAAATTTTAAAATTATTCTTGGAAATCATGTGTGTCACATCCTCTAGGCTATAGAGGAGACAGACCATCTAGTTTGTTATCAGCACACAGTTCAAAAGCTGGCATCTGTAATGGTATAGGGCTGCATTACTGCACAAGTCATGGGTGATCTGCACATCTGTGAAGCACCATTAATGCTAAATGACATATGCAAGTTTTGGAGCCACAAATGCTGCCATCCAGATGACGTCTTTTTTCAGGGAAGGCCTTGCTTATTTCAGCAAGACAATGTCAAACCACATTCTGCACATATTAGAACAGCATGGCTCCAAAGTAAAAAGTCTGGTTGCTAAACTGGCCTGCCTGCAGTCCAGACCTGTCAATCACTGAAAACATTTGGCACAGTATTAAACAAAAACATGACAAAGGAGACCTCAAACTGTTGAGCAGCTGAAATTCCATATCAAACAAGAATGGGAAAACATTTCACTTACAAAACTTCAGCAATTGGTCTCCTCAGTTCCCAAATGCTTACACAGTGTTATTAAAAGAAGAAGTGACACAACACAGTGGTAAACATGTCCCTGTCCCAACGTGTTGCTGGCATCAAATTCAAAATTGGCATATATTTTTCAAAAAACAATAACATTTCTAAGGGGGCAACCTTTGATATGCTGTCTTTGCACTATTTTCAATTAAATATAGAGTTTAAATGATTTGCACATTGTTACATAGTGTTTTTATTTACTTTTTGAACAGCGTCCAACATTTTTGTAAATAAGTCGTACTACAGTACTACTATTACTACTAACAGAAACAACAATGTTTTTATGAAGTTGTTATTATTATTGACGTTGTTATTCTATTTTTAAGGTAAAATAGCCTCAGATAATAGCATATAAGAATGCTATTCTTCCCGTATTTATTTCTGTTTCTGCTCCGCATTTCATATTTATCATTAAAACTTAACTTAGCATAATAACATAGGTCTGCTGGCCATTGGTGAGCGGAACCTTTCTTAGTTCATGGTTCCTACCCGAGTTCTAAAATGCGCAACACAAAATGGTCACGCATGCTGTGAACGTAGCAGCGCTGTCAAAAGCGGAGTTAAAATATTAATTTAAAATATTATTCATATCGAAAAGTGCTCAAAAACTGCATTAGAAAAAGTGTACTATGTCGGCTTCAATGATAAGGAAGGGACTGGAACTGCTGAGCAACGACCTTAAAGGTAAAAGAGTCGTTTTTGGACAACAAAGCTAAGCTAAGATCAACTTTTAGCTAGTTTAGCAGTTAAATCTGCAGAATCTACAGTCAGGAAAACACGGTGGTGATTTTTTATGGGTAAAATAGCTCTGCTAAAGAACTCTAATGAGTAATTTGTTTCTTATGTTTGTTAATTGTGGAATAAAAATCTCTTTTGACCCACAATGATTTTAAATGTCAGTTAACCTGATTCAGCTGTGTGATCCAAAACCCTCGTACACTCTTAAAAAGGACAGTTCTTCAAGGGTTCTTTAGGGAAGGTAGTGGTTCTGTTTAGAGCCAAGAGTTCTGTGTAGAAGCATTTCATTCAAACTGGATCATTGCATGGTGAAATTGTTCTTCAGCTTTATAGAGAATGTGTTGCATATGGTTCTTCATAGAACCTTTGTTTAAAATAGCTTTATATAGCACCAAAAAGGGTTCTTCTATTGTTTACAATGTCAAGAAATAGAGTTAGTATGAAAAATTAAGTAATCATAACTCACTTTTTTGCCATGTGGTTTGATCAGTTTGAAAAATTTCTTCAGATTTGTTCTCAGGAAAGCTCAGAGAACACAGGGACCAAAACAATGTAAAAAAAATTTATATGGATATTAATAGGAGAACCTTTTTGGTGCTATGTAGAACCATATAACTTAAAGCACATTCTACATAAATCTGAAGAACAACTTCATCATGCAGTGAACCATTTAACAATGAAATGGTGCTACATAGAACTGATGGTTCTAAATAGAGCCATTGACTTTACTAAAAAATGCTTGAAGAACCATGAGTGTAGCACTAGAGTTAAATCTATAGTCAGGATCTATGGTGTGGATAAATTAACCTAGTTCTTCTAAAGAACTCTAAGAAGTAATTTGTTTCATGTGTTTGTTAATTGTGTCAGTTACTTGATTCAAATATGTGATCCAAAGCCTTTGCAGAGGAAACTTGTGTGTTAAATACCTGTACAATAACGTATGAGGTGAACCAAATGAACGAAAGCTGCATATTAACCTTCCTCTTTCTCTGAAGATGCTGGCAAGAGTCACAAGAAGAGCTCCCAGAAAGTGTCTGTGATGGATCAGATCAGCTCTAATAAGAAGGGTGTTCGGAAGCAGATCCGTCGGCTTCAGGCCCACAGCAGAGCCGCAAAGAGCAAAACCACAGTCAAAGACAAGCGTGTCAAAAATGCTTTAGGTGAGTGGGTCACCGTGGCAGGAAAGTAGGTTTCTGAAGCTCAGATTAGAGTCACTGTTTTGATGATGAGGTCAGTCAAATTCATCTTAAATGAAACTTCATGGTTGGCACTAGTTTCCTGATATATCCAAATCACTGACAACAAGATCTAGAAATGCTGCCACCAAACCGGAATGAGGCTGGATTTACAGGCACAATTTTTTTTATCTCGCGCATTTAGCCATTAAATGTGGTGCAAGAAGCAAATATCGGCATTTGTGTGTGATGATTAAATTTAATAGGGTAAGGATTTCAGAGTCCAGTGCCATTGTGTGGAAAAAATGCCCACAGGACAAAACATTTTGGATCTGGAACCTTTTTGTGTACCACTGGACATGACAGTGGTACTTTTTGAAAACGTCATTCATTCTTATCTTAGAAAAATCCAGCCTTGACCCAGTGTTCCTAATATGAATGTGAAACTGGCTACTTAATGATGACACAACTATAGGTGTCTTTTGAGGATGTTTGATTTGGTCCACCAGAAAGTTACCCTAGCCTCACCACTTCACCCTATGAGAGAACAAACACATTTTTATACTATATATGACTTTTGAAATTCATATTTTTCTTTTCAGATTGTGTTTTTGTAGAATTTGTCTAAAACTATTTAGTGTAATATTATTAAATACACTTTGAAACTCAATTTGAAACCTACTCACCTTCTTTATCTGTGTAGTTTGGGCACCCCTGGTCTAAAGTGAGGAGATTTTGTGGAGTTACATCTTGGATGAACATCTTACATTAACCATTTGATTTGATCTATTTCATACTTTAATTTACAGTCACAATTGGATGCTCTGTTGTTTTATTAAAGGTCAGTCCTCTCATGTGACTAAAGAAAGAACTAGCGCTAGTATGAAACGTTAAGTAATCGTGACTCACTTTTTAGCCATGTGGTTTGATCAGTGTGAATAATTTCTTCAGGTTTGTTCTCAAGAAAGCTCAGTGACCACAGGGACCAAAACAATGTAAAAAGTTTGTATATGGATATTAATCCTAATTAATTAATCAGTATTGTTAACAGTTATTTTATTTGTTAAAGTAAAGCTGCAATAGTGGATTATTTTAACAGGTGGGCCAAAATCTCTAAAATAACTTGGATAAGCCGTTGATGTCTTGACAGTTGGAGATTTTGCTGAATTTATTTGCATGTTGTCTCTTTGCAGAGGAATACAGAAAAAAGCAGAAGAAAAGTCAGCTCAAGTCAAATCTGAAGTACTTCCTGGGAACCAGCTACAAAATAAACGAACACCACACAAAGACGGTATTTCAACATGGTTATTAGTAAACTAATATATTGTACTTATGATTAGTTGTGAATATATTCTGTACATATGATTTTATAGCACACATTCGTTTCAGGGCCTAAAGGTAATTCAAAACATTAGCTGATTCAAGGAAGCCACCATCACTGAAATGCTGTGATGAAAAGATTTTCCTTGGCCATTTAAATAATAATTTTTAAATGTGCACCTTCTTTTGTTTGTGCATTATGATACATTAATATCAGAATTTTACCCAGTTTGGTCATGGCCGAGTCCCACCCAGTAGTTAGGTCCTCTTTATCACACAGTGCTACCAACATGGGACGATGGAGGCAAACACAGGCTTCCAGCAGGACATGTAAAGCCAGCCAAAAGCTCTTATGGATATTTGACTATCAAAATGAATCAGAATGCACATTTTAGATGATTACAGTGCACAGTGAAACACACTGTGTTAGAGGCTCTTATGCATTTTACAGTCTTTTGCAATAATTAACAAATGATTTGTTGTTCCACTGCACTGAATAAGAGCTCCTGTCACATTTTACAATTGGAGTGGAGTCGTTATTGAGCTTGAAGTCATTGTCTTTTCTCCGTATCTCAGATCCTGAAGCAGAACACTGGCCGTCTGTCCCGCCACCAGCCAGACAAGCCAGTCAAGAAACCGCAGGAAAAATCCATCTTCACAGAGGAGGAGTTCCAGAGGTTCCAGGAGGAATATTTTTCTAATCTGTGATGTCATTGTGGACTGTTCTGGACACAGTAGAGGAGGTTTGATGCAGGTTATCCTGCAGACCCTGGAAAGTGGAAAATTCAGAAGGACTGAACTTCAGATATTCATTTTTCATTTTCACATGTTTGTGTTTTTCATTTTGTGTTGTTTTATAAATAAATAGTCATTTGATGGTTTTGCCAAAAGGTCTACAGAACTTTTTATAGTTTTGTTTAGCAATTCACTGTTTACCTTGTGTCATATTATACATTCACAGTGTCTTTGAGTAAGACTGAGGAGCTTGCAGTTTTTTCATGCCAAAGGACCCTTTTTCTAGGATTGACTGCCATCACTATTTTCATGGATCCCCAGGTCCATAGTTGAAAAGCCAGTGTGCTTGTGTTTTGGCCAAAATGGAAAATGTCACCATCATAACAGTCTGTTGTTAGCATGCCAGTTCACCTCTTAAAAGTGCTGCAGTAGTGAAGACTAGAAAACCTCCTCCTTATGATGCAAATTGAAGGTGGAAGTCAATTTTCAAAGACTACAAGTTCTTTGGAGTGGATACCTGGAGGTGGACTGTTTGCCAGCTGGCTGAGTTTTCATCTGAATAATTGGACAACCAATTAATGTTAGTCCTATATCACAAATTCTAGCTAGAACCACAGATGTATTTGTGAGCCTCTATATCAGTGTCTAGTAGTCAGGATTCCCAGTGATTCCCAGTGATGTTTTGAGTAATGCATGCTGGGTACTGCAGTGAGAGAATATTGTAGAACGAAAAGGATACAGAGTGATAAACTGTCAAACCAATGAGGCAAAGTTATGCAATACTCCACTACAGAACATAACGAATAACAAATGCTTGGAGGCAGAATGCTCCTTTAAGTGCTGAATACAAAAAGACAGTTGTCCACTGGGGGGCATATCAGTGAGGCAATATTCACCCGTCATGCTGACATTTTGCCTTTCAACAGTAAACTTGACTGACCAGTCCAGGCAGAGTGTTGAAGGATTGCATGTTTGACGTTATGCTCTTCAAAGGAGTAAAAGTTACGAGTGACGTGGTTTGTATGCTGCTGAACAGGTTTTGTGCTGCAACATGTCAAAATTTAGCACTCGTTGGTAGTGAACTCTGGAAGTAAGCAATGCTTGTAAAGTTATTCCATTAGCCCCAAAAGGAAAAGCCACAGGTTTCTGAAATAAAACGGCATAGTGGCACAAAAGGAAATAAAAAAAGGGAAGACGGATAGACAGACAGGAGGAATGTCACTCGTAAGTCATTTGTTTTTCCTCATTACTGTGGTCAGAATCTCTGTTAAGTAGGTGGTTCACAACTGAGCATTAAGTGCTGTTCGTAAAGTGTGAAGGACAGTGTTGTTTGGGCTGTGTAAGCTTTATTTGCATGACTAATTAAAGCATCGTTGAAACAATAACTGTTGTTTAAATGCTACATTGCATAAAAAACTACTGAAAGTTTCCCTGACTTTTTTTTTCATAATTTTTTTAAATAAAGTTGGACATAGTGTGTAAAGTTTCCAAAGGTCATTTACTTCCCAGTGTACAGTCCATGAATTTAACCTGAAAAAACATCCTGTTTTGAGTTTATTAGTGATGTCGCAAAAACCTTCAGCCTGAACAGCTTACAAAGCATGTGTGTCATTTGTTTATTTGAATACATAAGTATAAGTATATTCCCATTCATATTTTGTGTTTTAAAATTCACCTGAGTGATTATGGACATTTAAATGGTCAGTCATGACCTCCTGTTTCACTGGGGAACATATATGAGATGAAACAGGCCAAATGCCCTCAGTCATCCATCGTTATGAGACAGACCAGAGAAAACAGTTATGATGTGTGACAAAAGGTTGTTGAGCTGCACAAATCATGAAACGGCTACAAGACAATCGCTAAACAGTCAAAAAGCCCCCATTTCCACTATCAGGGCAATAATTAAGAATTTTAAAGCACCTGGAGTTGTTAAGAATCTGCCGAGAAGAGGACGCATGTCTATACTGACCTCACGCACAGTGAGGGAGCTGGATCACAGCTGGGGAATTGTAGACATTAGGTCTTGGGGTCAGAATGTCTCACATGTCTCACAGGTTGTTTGAGGGGGTTGCCAGTAGGAGGCCTCTGCTGTCAAGGACCAACAAACTCAAGCCTACAGTTTGCCAGACATTACTGGAACTTTTAGTGGTACGATGTTCTCTGGTCAGATGAGACCAAAATAGAAGTTTTTGGCAACAAACACCACAGGTGAGTTTGGTGTAGACACAAAGATAGTCATGCAGAAAAGTACCCCATCCTGCTGTGAAGTATGGTGGTGGATCTATGATGTTGTAGGGCAGTTTTTCATCCAAAAGGCCCTGGACATTTGGACAAATGGTATCACAGACTCCATCAAATATCAGCAGATATTAAATCAAAACCTGACTGCCTCAGCCAGGAAGCTTAAAGTGGGCCGTAATTTGAAACTTCCAACAGTACAATAAGCCAAAGTACATTTCAAAAGGGTTTAGGAATTAAGGTTTAGTGGCCTTTGCAGTTTTCTGACCTAAACCCCATATAAAACCTGATGGATGTGCTGAAGAGGACAGCCCAAAAGTGTGGACCTTAAAATCTTACGGATCTGGAGGGATTCTGTACGGATGAATGGTCTCAGATCCTTTGTCATGTGTTCTCCAGTCTTGTTAGGCATTATAGTAAAAGACTCAGAGCTGCTATCTTTGAAAAGGAAGGCTGCACAGAGTATTAAATGAAAGGGTGCCAACAGTTGTGGCAGACAGATTTAAGAAAAACATTTCTTTCATGAAAGAATTTGTTTTGTATTTTTAAACATTGTGCTTCAAATAAAGGTTAAGGTTTTGTTAATATTTTGAATAAGAGATCAAAAGAACAAGTGATCAATGTTTTCACAGCCTGTTTTGTATGTGTTTACTAGAGGTGCTAATATTTGCAGCGGGCACTGGATCAGTCTAAAAAACAGTAATAAAACAGCCTGTTTAATTGGAAGCGATGAAAAAAGTTGGAATTGGTCATGTAAAAGCAAACGTTGACTATTCTGGGGTATAAATCCACACTAATGTTGTAATCCAACCTCAAAGTATGATATCAGAATCTAGGACATGTGCCTGTTAAGAATTTAAAGAGGTTTCCGTTTCAATTACAACAGCTGGTTCAGATGTATTGGTTGAAGAACATAAGACAGTGGCTGATAACTTTCAAAGATGCACAAAGACTAAAAATGAGGTGTGAATGTGTTTTTTTCTCAGGGAGAGAATCCCAGGCCCAAACGTCCAGCTCGTCCACGAGCCCCTGACCCATTCACAATACAGCCCTCGCGACCTGCACCCCCACCTCCAACAGCTTTACAATCCAAAACACCCAGTCCACCATCGGAGTACCCAATCACCCCTCTGTATACAAGTGTCCTACCTGCTGAGGTACTGACCTGGTCAGAAAGGCATTGTCATTGTGGTGGTTGTTGACAGGAGCTACTTGTACAGTGTTTTTAATGGTGTTTTGTCTGTAGGTTATAACTCCTGCCAGGCCTGCACCTCCAGTACCAAGAAGACCCGTCCTTAGCAGAGAACAGTGCTTCTCTCAGAGCACAGAGACAGAGGTACGAGCTTTAATCAGAGATACTGGTAGGAAGCAGAACTTGTCCCAACATTAAAACATGCTAGACTTTGCATAATCTTACTTTGTTTTTGTTACAGCTCCATAACTTCCACTCTTACTTGGCATATCAGCAGCTAAATACACACCAATCAGGCATAACATTATGTCCACCTCCTTGTTTCTACGCTCATTGTCCATTTTATCAGCTCCACTTACTTCCCTTTTACCCTGTTCTTCAGTGGTCAGGACCCCCATGGACCTTCACAGAGCAGGTACTATTTGGGTGGTGGATCATTCTCAGCACTGCACTAACACTGATGTGGTGGTGGTGTGTTAGTGTGTGTTGTGCTGGTCTGAGTGGATCAGACACAGCAGTGCTGCTGGAGTTTTTAAACACTGTGTCCACTCACTGTCCACTCTATTAGACAGTCAGAGACGATGGCTCATCTGCTGCTGCACAGTTTGCGTTGGTCATCCTATAGTCCTTCATCAGTGGTCACAGGACGCTGCCCACAGGACGCTGTTGGCTGGATATTTTTGGTTGGTGGACTATTCTCAGTCCAGCAGTGACACTGAGGTGTTTAAAAACTCCAGCAGCACTGCTGTGTCTGATCCACTCAGACCAGCACAACACACACTAACACACCACCACCACGTCAGTGTTACTGCACTGCTGAGAATGATCCAACACCCAAATAGTACCTGCTCTGTGAGGGTCCATAGGGGTCCTGACCACTGAAGAACAGGGTAAAAGAGGACTAACAAAGTATGCAGAGAAACAGATGGACTACAGTCTGTAATTGTAGAACTACAAAGTGCACCTATATAGTAAATGGAGCTGATAAAATGGATAAAAAGTTTTCTGATTATTATGATTATGATTGTGATATCACAACCATGTTGAATTCAAAACAGGCTGATTTTGCATTTGAGTACTGATGAACTTAAGAAATTGCATGTTTTCAAACATTAACAATGTTAATTTAGTGTATCAAACTCTTATTTAAGGAATTAAATTTAGGAAAATGGCAGTTTTAAAATGATATGGGCTCTTAAAGTGCATAATTTTCTTTATGTATACAAACAGCATAATTTCCAGATAAAGACCTCACACATTTTTTCACAGTGTGTGCCATAAATACTGTAAACAGCTCCAAAATGGATTTTTAATGTCTGCCTGCCATGACTTTTTGTTTTAACCGAACCATCCATAGGACTGTACCACGCCACAAAACCCCCTGCCTGCCCTTCGTCGTCCTCCCGCTCCTCCTCGTCCTGTTGCCCCACTTCGTCCAGGAGTGGTACAACCCAGAAGACCCATCCTGTCACAGTCTCTCTCAGAACAGCCTGATGAGCACATATATGAATATATCCCAGATGTGCTTCCAGACACTCCAGAGGTAAAGAGCACAACTGAAAACTTTGATGAGGAATACTGTTATTGTTTTTCAGTCCCAGATGTGTTTAGCATTCAGTGTCGAATAAGATCATTATTTTTACCCCAAATTAGTCATGACAAGACATGTTTGGTGTCCAAAGTTTGCTTCTCCAGTTTACACTGGAGCTACGAGAGTAACGTCGCTAACAAGTAATGGAAGCGTATAGCTTACCAATTAGCATAATGTGATTCTAAGACAAGTGTTTAATGATGTAAATATGCAGTTTGCTTAATTCTAGATTGGAGGGCATATTCCTTCACTTAGGCCCAATCCCATTTCTTATTTTCACACCTACCCCATGTTTTCGAATGTCACCTTGCCCCTTGGAACTGAGGTACAAGGGGTCGTGGTTGAAATCTTCCCCTACAAAATGGGACCCTCAAATAAAAAGAACATTACTTCATTAACAGGCTACTAGCGGTGCTCTGTAGGCGACCCTGCCAGTCTGCAGTGACAGCAGAGAAGGGTAAAGTTCAGCAACCTCACTGCTGGGCTTTAGTTACATTTAGGACATCATATGTCTTCACACATATTATGCGACAGTTATTTATCGCCCACTCCTAATTCTTTAGTGATATGAAGCTGAAGTCAGCTATTCGCCAGCTTCTTATTTGAATTTTCCCGTTCCACCTTAAATGACACCTGAGGTGCCAGAATGTAACTGCTGCACCCTTTAAGGTGGAACAGGAAATTTAGTTAGCTACAGAGATGGCAGCGTGCAACTAGTAATTTTTTATGCTTGTTATGAAGAAAAGGACCATAATACATTGAAACGACATTAAACTAAGACAATGCAGTGGTTATCATCATTTTTTAATAGAGAAAATATTCAGATTTGTGGGTTTCCGTTTGGAGTGTGCCTCTGAAAAACCTCCGTTTGGAGGTCCATGTCGCCCTAACACTTCACCCTACCCCTCTATCTCAACAAAAATCTGGACACCCTACCCCTAGATGTGAACGCACAGAGTGGAGGGGTAGGGCTAAGTGGTAGGGGCAAGGGGTGATATGGTATTGGGACTTATTACGAACAGAAAGCAATGATTAGTACATTTTGTTTGACCTATTTTAAACTCTTTCACGATGGAGAGAACCTTTTAATCATGCAGAGGGTTCTTTAAATATTCATGGTGTTCTATATAGAACCATTTTCTTCACTCAAGAACCCTTTAAGAACCATCTTTTTTGTGTAAAGTCTTCAGCTGTGCATCTGTATGGAGGCTCATAATGAGCCATATGTTCAGTCGAGTCTAGAACCTGCACTCTGTGGTTACGCAGCCATGCTGCTTTAACGTGCAGAAAACGGCTTGGCGTTGGTGTGCTGAAATAAGCATGGACGTCCCTGAAAAACAGCATATAGTCACTGACAAAGAAAAACAAGTCTCCAGAATGGCAACTTTACAAGAGATAAAAATGCTCTTTAGTTTTAATAGAACGGAATGTAAAGATAATTTATTACAAGCAATTTTGGAACATTTTTTTGGTCCATTCATCATAAAATCTTTGCATAGTGTAAAGGGCAGCTGTTTTTGCTCAAATGGTGTGAGAAAATGTGAAAATTGCTTTTAACAATCTGGATGGTCCTTTTCTTCTTTGGTCTGGAGAACATGGCGTCTATTATTTCCATAAACAGCAAAGGTTTTCTTGTCAGGCCATAAAACACGTTTACACCTTGTATCAGTCCATTTCAGTTCAGCTCGACCCCCAAGAGCTTGAGCCTGAGGCCCTAAGGCTTCCACTGTGCATACAGTCTAACAAATCATGTACTTGAGTTAAAGTAGAAATACCCAAGGTAAAATATCACTCCAGTAAAAGTAGAAGTCCTCCCTTTAGACCTCCACTTGAGTAAAAGTACAAAAGTATTTGCTTTCAAATGTACTTAAGTATCAAAAGTAAAAGTACTAAAAGATTAATTATGGCTCTAATGTTATTATAATTTTTCTAACAAGAATCTTGCTTCATTAACTCATTTTAGGTGAAAATACTCTAGTTTCACTCTTGGTAAACCAATCTTTTAATAGAATGTCATTAATTAGTCTGACGCTGATGTCTATTAAAATTATCAAAAGCACAAAACACTGAAGGCAAACAGTTTCCATTAGGGAGAAACAAGTGGCTCTGAAATAACATTTTGCAAACAAGCGAAGTTTTAGTTTAAGAGCATCTTAGTTACAAGTTTAAGTTTAATAAAAACTTGCTTTAAACTCAGGTTCACAAAGAGTTTTCCTTTACTAAACTGCATCTGTAGGTCTCTGTTCATAAACATAAACTAGCCAAAAACAAATTTACTATAACATGAAACAGTGTTTGTGTAAATTCAGAAAAAAGACACTTTCCAGTCACAACTGCATATGTGTACATATTTCTATATTGTGGTTAGTTCCATCATTTATGTAGGAATAGGTGCTTCCAAAATTTTTTACGCTGCTGCACTGACGTTGAACCGTATGCTTGCACTGGGTCATTATGTCCAACAGGTCAAAACAAGCTCAAAACAAAGTGTGCGCTGTGCCCTGATTGGTGTTTTGGCTTCACGCTTCTTTCATTTTGATGTTACATATTTATACACACATAAGACAAAAGGAATGACAGATTTCTCATAATGTAGTGGAGTGAAAGGTAAGATATTTGACTTTGAAATGTAGTGGAATAAAAGTAAAAAGTTGCCCAAAATGGAAATACTTCAGTAAAGTACAGATACACGAAAAAACTACTTAAGTACAGTAACGAATTACATTTACTTAGTTACTGTCCACCATTGACAATTTTTAATCCAGTGCCGTCTGAAGGACCAAAGATCATTCAGTTGTCGTTTTCAACCTTAACATTTACGTGCACAGATTTCTCTGGATCCCCTGACACTTTTGATGATGTCATGCACCTTAGAGGGTGAAATATCTAAAATCAGTGCAGTTGCTTGTTGAGGTGCATTGTTAAACTGTTGGATGATTTGTACGTACTTTGTACTTGGCTGATTGAGTGCTGTTTGGGGTGAGAGTAACAATGTGTACGTTTGATTTTCTGCTGAATTATTTCTTTAAACCTGCAGGATGAAGGGGTTAATGGAGAGAGAGGTGTGTGTGCAGCAGAAAGGAAGCCTCTCACTCCTCATCCACTGCGCTCACTGAGTGAACAGTCAAGCGTGGATGGAGACAGCAGTGCAAAGGTGAGATGGATCATTATCTTGTCTCAGTATCAGATTCTGAAAAGAGATGTGGTCCATGGCGCCAGTTCTGCTTTTGCCTGACAGGGCATTTTTCATTCTAGAACAACATAGTTTCACAGATTGAGCTGTAAAGGTGCAGATTTTAACTGGCGGTTGCAAGTGTGGTATGCAGATAGCAGTCTCAGTATGAGAATCTACAAAAACACTCAAAAACAAAAGTCATTCACCAGAGAAATGCTTGTGATGCTTAAATGGTGTTATCATTTAGATTTTTGTGGTTTTCATGAAGTCTGGAGCATTTCTAAATATGATCAGGTAACAAAAAGCACCTCAGTAACAAGAACAGAGGTCATTCAACTGGGATCTGGATGCCATTTAAACAGACCAGGGCAAAGAGGCCTGATCAGAGGTCTCTTATTTTGACTAGACTGTTAAAATAGAACTAATATAAGAACAAGAAGTGAGTGCAACTAGCTTGGGACTAGGAGATTTCACTTTTTAATAAGGTTTTTAGGTCTTGAATTTTGGAATAAAGCAGTACATCTCTCTTCTCCAGGAGCTGGACATTCTCCTGGAATGGTGGAGAAGTGTGGAAGGTGGGTGGATCAGGAGAGCTTTACATTCCTGTCTTCACACTAACTCACTCTGAACATTCTGTTGACTGGTTTGTCTCTACTCTTTTAGGGTGGGAGGAGCTGCAAATGGGCCATCGAAGACAGGAACCTGAAACAAAGTATGGTGTACTGTATACTGCATACTGCACCAGTATAAAGTCATAGACAAAGTCATGTATCACACTACAGGACAGGGGCAGGACTAGAACCAGCATCTTGGTTCTAATAATATACTACACATATTATAGTTTGAATTAGAAAAAATCCAAATTTTAGATACAAACAAAAGACTGCGAAGTAACAAAAGATGGCAAAATAGTGAAAATACAAGTAAACTATAAACACGGTTGGGCAAAGTAGTTTGTAGTAGTGATGGCTAAATACTGAATACACTGCACTGAATGGATTTAGTGATGTGTTACAATAAAATAAAAAAGTAATATTTTCTGAATACATTGAGGATACATGTTAATAAGACACAGCAAAAACACACTCACTGTCCAGATGTATAGCTTAAATAACGTGCTTAGGTGCCTAAGATTTTGCACATTACTGTGTGTACCTGATTTGCACATATCTTTTCCAATGCAGCTGTAACTCTGCACTTTTATATGGGGTTAATATAATACTTGAAGACATCTTTAAAAATGGAATAACAGTCTGTTCTCGTTCATCTGCTTGTTCTTCCTGTAGATTGATGTTAGTGGCCCAACGGGTGAAGACGGGCATGCGTCTGTACCAGCTGCTCGTGTTTCAGCATGGTAAAATCTTGCTGAACCACATCACTGAGCTGCACTGCACCGCAGACAGTCTGAGCAGAGTGGGCAAGAACACGCGGATTGCAGGAATCACAGGGGGCACCACAGGGGCAGTGGGTGTGGCGGCAGTGGTGGCAGGCGTAGCTCTAGCACCCTTCACCTTTGGGGCATCTATGGTGGCAGCCGGAATCGGCGTTGGCGTGGCGGCCGCTGGAGGAGTGACCGGGGCATCAGCTGCCATCACCAGCAAAGTTAAAAGCAGCCAGGTCAGAAGCAAAGTGGAGAGAATCCTTAAAAACTACAGGTTCCACATGGAGGATATCATAGAGTGCCTGGGGTTTATTGACATGGGGATGGAGTACATTAGAAAGCTCAGTCACTCCAGGCTGAAGCATCTGGACCCTTGTACTTTGAAAATAGTCCAAATGGCCGTAGAGATGGGCAGCTTTTGTTCCACAGATGCCATTGGCGAATATTCTTGCATACTGCAGGGATTTGCATCTGGGCTGGATTCCTACTTCAGTGAAGAGGACAAGCTGAAACTGAAGAAAGGTTCTGAAAGCCAGTTTGCAGACAACATCAGGGAGGTGGCTGACAAGCTTAAAGAGAGCATGGACGAACTCATCCGCATTAAAAACCTGTTTCGCTCAATAGTTGATCATGTTTGATTAAATGGACCACATTTTGTATAATATTGCAAAGCATGGCAATAATGTCCATATTGACTTCCACTAATTCAGTGTTTCTCAATAGTGCATTTAAACACAGATCTTATGATCATCCTTTCGTAAATACTTTATAAACTCCAAAAAAGATTGGACAGTCTGAGAAATGCCAAAAAAGAAAGCAGTTCTAAGTAAATTATTGTATATATTTGACCTGAATTAAAACACAGTATTTAATGTTTTACCTGATTAACCTTATTGTAAATAAATATATTTAATTGTAAATAAATATATGTTCATTCTAAATCAGACGCCTGCAAAACATTCCTAAAAAGTTGAGATAGGAGCATTTTTAACACTGTGTTACATCATCTTTCTTTTTAACAGGACATTTGGGAACCAAAGACACAACTGATCCAGTTCTGACAGCTGAATTTTTTGCTATTCTTTGAGTCTCCAGCTGTGCAAATGTACGAGGCCTTTGTTGTCGTATTTTATACTTCATAATGCACCACATGTTTTCAGTGGGAGATGGCAGGCCAGTTTAGCCCCTGCACTGATTACACAGCCATGCTGTTGTAACTTGCAGAATGTGGCTTAGTGCTGTTGAAAAGCATGGACGCTCTGAAAAAGACGGTGTCTAAAAGACTGATAATCCCTCATACCATAACAATCTGTCCATTATTTCCAAAAAATAATGACATTACGCACTGAAGAGGGTGAAATACCTAAAATCTGGGATGCTCTGGAGCAATTGCACATGAGCCTAAAGTCACTGAAACCAATACCAAGTGTCAGCTAGAGAGGTATAAAGTCCCCCAGCATTAGGCTGTGACGCAGTGGAACTAAATACTCTGAAGAGAGATGGAGCTCCAATCAATACCTTTAGAATAAGGTGGAGTGGCATTTGTGATCTAGAACTACATCAACATCAGTACCTGACCTCACTAATGCTCTTGTGGCTGAATTCGATCAAATCCTCACAGCAATGTTCCAACATAGAGTGGAAAGCCTTCCCAGAAGAGTAGAGACTTTTTACTGCAGCAAAGTGGGGCAAACTCTCTATTAATGGGTTTCTCAGAAGAAACACTGGTGTGTGCTGAGTGCTCATTGGCTGTTCATGCTCACTGAGGTCATGAACGTACATGAGGCGCTGTTTGAAACTCTTATAACTCAAGTTCAAAAGTGCTCAAAAATACAACAATGGTGTTAAAATGTTTTATGCAGTTCTGTGTTTAGAAAATGAATGTGTGATTTTATATAAAATGTTTAGGCATTTATAAAGTCTGATTTTGCTCAAATGCTCCATCTTAACCCATTCACTCCAGCGTTTAAGAAACCCAGAAGGCATTACAGAGTGGTAATTCTCGCTACAAGCTCTCTGATGGCAACAAATTCTGACTGTTAGCTGAGCCACTGATCTACAGGCTAACAAATACAACCAAACTGTTTCAAACTTTTACCTCTGTCATAAAAAATGTTAAGAAATCTGTCTTTATTCTGCACAAAATGGATGCAAAAGACGTTATTTATTGTTTTAACTAGAGAAAAGAAGCCAAACTGAGGTAAAGTATCTAGATAGCCAGCTACGTTGCAAACTTTAGTTTTTAATTTTTTGTCCTCCTCAGCTGACGAGTCATTTCTGTAGTTCAGGTATTATACTCTATCCTTAAGGATGATTTAAAGACATTTACTACAGTTATATGGCTGCAATATGATATATGGTTTCTTAGCTTTAACATTAGCTGTTTAACATTATCCAATTTTAGTTTTTCAAAAGTTTCTTCCACCTTAAAGTTACAGAGTGCCCTTTAAACTACTTCAATACTTAGCAAAAAACTAAATATTGTGAAGAGAAATGTGCCAACAGAAACAGGGGTGTAGCCAGAACTTTTAGCATGGGGTGGCAAGGTTGTACCCAGCGATTTAAACGGGGTGGCACACTGCTAGAAAAATATCCGAAATAAAATAGCATTACGATATTAAAATGACATAAAAAGTGCTGTGTCAGTTTTTCTCTTTTCATAACTACATCTGTCCATCATTTCCACAAGAATAAAACTATTACATCACCACAATTATTGCCAAAAGTAAACTGAAGGGCAAAAATGATGTAATGTATTTTATTCACTCATGATGAAATTATGCGCTTGAATCAAACAAATACTTTAGTACACTATGCTAACTCAAATAAATAAATAAATAAAAATTAATAATGCAGACAGGCAATCAAAAGCGTATCACAGCAAGATACGCTAATTATTAAATGCATCAGCAGACTCATATATCTGACTGGCAACTACCCTTTCGGTGGATTTTCATTATAACGCGTAACCATTTATACACTTTTTTCTGGTGACTGCTTCATTCAGTGTCTCATTTTTCATAATTGGGTTGGCCAGAAGGGTGGCCCTGCTTCATGCTAGGGTGGCACTGGCCATCTCTGGCCACCCCTTGGCTATGCCTCTGATTAGAAAGTGAAAGAAAATGTGGATATATTGAACAATAGTTTCATATAAAGAACAGGTCAAACCTGGTTCTTGTTAAACGTGTTGGGTGGAGTTTTAACTGAAACATTTTTCTTTTGCATATATGTAGAATCTTTTTAAAAACAGAGGTCTTTTCAGTAAATTAGACTACATTCATAACCTTTCTGCATCCCTGTTCACTATGTTGAAATAATGACTTATGGTGTCTAAATATTGACGTAGTATTTTCTGTTAATGACGAAATAAATGAATGATGAAATGTAATAATTCATTATTTCAACAAAACATTCCAAAATCTCAAAAAAATACTTTATTCCAAGATGTTAAGTAAATTTTTGACAAAATAACTAATTATTTGAAGATAGGAAGTTAATATTTTGGCATTCTGCTGCCAAACACGCCACACAATGTCTAATATGAAGCAGACAGCAGTGCAGCTATTGTTATACCTATTCCAACGCTTCCATTTTCAAATTAACAGCAAGATTACACATATCAGCCATGATGCTAGATTTACATAAACCCAACCAACCCTGCAACACCCTTCATCATAAAGCACACGTTCGCTCACCACAGGCACAGTTTCTGCCTGTGGAAGATCTCCACAAATTCTCTGCAAGTGGCTCATTTTCATACCTAGCTAGATGCTAGCTAATGTTAGCCAACTAGGCATTTGAAGTGTCACCGAAAGCAAGAAGCACCGCCTGTAGCAAATGTTAATCTGGTTTGAGCATAAATATGCAAACCTGGTCTGCTGTTCTCTATCTCAGGCGATTCGTCTGCGCGGTCAAGTGAACAAATTCACTTGTATTGAGATCTCAATTATGACAATACGCATCACGCAAACATGAGTGTGGATCGCTGCGTTCCTGCATTTTACAATGCTATCCGGCTTTCTGAGAGCAATATTCTTGAAATAGTATAATTTTGGACAGCATCTTTCTTAAACTGCCACTCTGTTACTGAATGCAATCCAGCAGCGATGTTGACATGCCTGGCTGGACCCAATGTGGCATCCAGGTACGTATATCTATGGGTTTGAGTACTAAATTTACTTGACAAAGATGGCAGACGAATCAGATAACCAGAGCGGTGAATTTCTTGTACAAATGTTAGTACAAATAATTATTTCATGATTAAACCCCTTAAACAATTGACAATAACATGTTTAATAGTTAAAGTAATACATTTAACATTTACCTTTTTTTGTGGTTTGTTGGTGAAATAAAGGCGACAGTGTTGGAGGCCATTTTTGAAACTGTATCCTAAATACTTTATCAGCATTTATCATTAAAGACCAGACACTGGGTGTGTGGACATGGCTCAGCCAGGTGGTTTCTGAGCTGCTGAAGGGTTCAACTGGGCAGCTGCAGAGGTCAATTCTGCCGGGAGACCAATGGTCAGTCAGGCCTCCTGTATAATTTACATGCGACCCAGAAGGATAGGCGGTTTAGATGATGTATGTATGTATGTATGTGCTGTATAATTCTGTTACCTGTCATTTCTGTCACAGAAATGGACAAGAATAAAAAGCCAATGGCTGTTGAGTTGATTTCTTAGAATTTGACGTCTTTGGTTCACCATATTGGAATTTTCTTGGATTCTTTTGGATCACAGCCATTCTATCAGCCTGCTGATTGGTAGACTGGTCCTCCTTGCAAGCCAACCTCGACCAACAGTTCATCACAATTATGTTACTGTTGCCGGCCTTATTAGCATAGACTGGAAGAAGAAATACAGAAATAAATAAATAGAGAGAAACTAACACTAAATTATTACAATTACTGAAGTAGTTTCCATCTCTGCTGCCCATTTATGAACGCATAATGGGACTGGTAACTGGCGAGAGAATTATCAAGAGATTCCACATTCCAGCAGTTCAGAAATACACACATTTCGTTTTGACACATGCCCATTGTATTTAGCTGCGCCCCATCAAACTCACCTCCCTCAGTTCAGTTCTGACACTGGAACTAGACAACGTATTCATCACGTCTTCAGAACCACCACATCCAATATTAAGATGTCAAGGGTAAGCAAAATATCTTAAATTAAACATGTATGTTATCATGTTTTTGCCTGAACAACTATTGCCTTTTTGACCATTGTTTAACTGACTTGAACTGTAACATATAACAATTTTAACTATACGGTGTATATTTGAAAATATCAAAAAACTATGTCCATAAGTGACAAACATAAGTTGGATAAAAGTGAAACACATATATCCTAAATCATATATTGCCATATATTGTATTTCTGTATGACCGATATTTTGTTTGTTGTTTTCATTCTTTGTGTCTACTCATATTACAGTACTCATACTGTAATATTCAAATAGACTTGTAGCCTGGTGTAGTTTGAAATTATTGGCAGATTTTGAAGTGATTTAAGACTAAATATTGTGCAGTAAACTGTGCCGACAGAAAGTGAAAGGAAATGAGTACATTTGACACAACATTTCTGAAGACAGGTCGAGACTGGTTCTGATTAGAGGTGAAGGGTGAAGTTGAAACTGAAATATTTTTATTTTACATGTGTATAATCTTTTCAAATTAGTGACTTAGTATCTCCTAATAATGACTTATTAACCCAAAATAATCACTTGCTTAAACTGGCAAGCATCACAAGCTAAAGTATACTGCCGTGACAGGTAGGAAAAGCCAACAGCTCCTTGATTTCTGAATTATATGCAAAATAAAGTCCCATGATGATGATTTTCTCCTGTAAAGACTGACATCTCAACTGTAAAAACAAACGTGTGGCACAAAAATTTTTTCACAGTTGAACTGCACATTTTGGTGCTTCAGTAACATTGATAGAATATATTTTAAAAGAACTGTGTATGATTTACAAGCTTGGAAGTGCACTAGATGTTCGTCTTCATAGGTGAGCAAGTAAGTCAACATATTAAAAGTGTTTTTATTATGTTTAAATGCTATTGTTTATGTGATGTTGACATTAAGGAAGCTGTGGTTTTGTTCCTGGCACAGCTGTCTTTGTGGGGGTTCTCACCCCTCCACTTTCACCCCACATTGCTCGCTAGCAGCTCAACACAGTCACAACATTTCACACAAAGAGACAACAGGGTCCTAGATAATCTGACAACAGAGTTACAGGGAAAACATATTTTATTTGATTACATGAATCAAAATATCCAACAGGGACAGGGACTTCAAAGGCAGCAAGAAATGCCCAGCGCTTCTCCAGCATGAAACTGGGGAGGGGGTAACGTGGGAGGACACACATGTAGGGTGGACAAACTCACACACAAAGCCCTCAACAGATGCACTTCAGCGCTAGTAGCAACTACAACAACAATTACAGCAACAGTCTGTTTGTTGGCCGTGCACAGTAACACCTACGGAAAGCCACTTTGCATGGTCATACCCGTTAAGCTCCAATACTGTGTGAGGGCACTTACTCACCTCTCATTATTTGTGTTATAAAATCATCAGGGGTTGTGCTTGCCTATGCAAAAAGTCTAAATCTGCATAATCTAACAGTTACTACACTTTCCATTGTAATAGCCCCCGCGTCTGCCCAAGAATCCCCCACCTGTTGCCCCTAAAAAACACACGATTGTCAGAGTAGGACAATCATTGCCAGGTATGATGCGTTCCATCTCTCTGCCTGAAAGTGATCAAGGGAGTGGAAGAGGGGAATATCTTAATGTGATGGTAAGGGCCTTATACCATGTTGAACTAAGTTCATAACTGCTATCAGTACATAGATAAATACGCTGCGGCCTATGGGCAAACACATATAAGTGTTCTTATGTGCTCTCCAAGAGGAAGAATGGAATGGACAAAGAAGAGAAGAACCCGACACTTCAGAGCATCGCTGAAGCTCCAAACCCAAGTGACGTCCAGGTTATGGAGGAGGAGAAAGTAGATAAAGAGAGAGTAAGTAGAGATACTGATTCTCTTAAAAATTGAGGTGCCAGAAGAGGTTCTTAGAGGGTTCTTAGAGGGTTCTTAGAGGGTTCTTTGAAGTGATGCCAAAGAAGAACTACTTTCAATTGAGACTTGTACAGCTTAATACAGTGTACATGTCCAATACTAATAAATTATGACAAATAAACCAAATGGGAATGTTTTTCTCTTGAGTAATGTCATGTTCTAGATAAGGTGGAAAAGCTGAAAGACATTAAATGTCGTTAAAGACGTTAAATGAGATATTTAGCTCATAGTTCCTCGCCTGGTGGACAAGAGAGAGCAACCTTTTAATTCAGGCAACAAAAATGGCAGTTTACAAGTAAAAGGATTTTTAAATTTAAATCAAGTATTTTGTTTGGTTTATACACTATATTTGAACGGTATTGGACATGTACACCATATTGGGGCCTATATGTCTTAGCAGTCAGAGTTCAAATCAGACAGCTGAGATGTCGAGGAAAAAAAACACAGCAGACTTAAAACCTAAACTGACAAGCATTACAAGCTAAAGTATACTGCCATGACAGGAAGGAAAAGCCAACAGCTCCTTGATTTCTGAATTATGTGCAAAATAAAGTCCCGTGATGATGATTTTCTCCTGTAAAGACTGACATCTCAACTGTAAAAACAAACGTGTGGCACAAAAATTTTGCTTTGCCAATCATGCTGTGTTAGTTTTCTGCAGAAGTGGCCACAACCCGTTTTTGCCATTTCCCTTTAGAATTATGTACAAAACACACTCCTGTGGAGTTTAAACTCACAAAATGAAACAAAAATGCAGTTTTACACTTGTTTTGGAGGCCTCACAGTTGAACTGCGCATTTTGGTGCTTCAGTAACATTGACAAAATATATTTTGATAGAACTGTGTATGATTTACGAACATGGAAGTGCACTAGATGTTCGTCTTCATAGGTGAGCAAGTAAGTCAACATATTAAAAGTGTTTTTATTATGTTTAAATGCTATTGTTTATGTGATGTTGACATTAAGGAAGCTGCGGTTTTGTTCCTGGCACAGCTGTCTTTGTGGGGGTTCTCACCCCTCCCCTTTCACCCCACACTGCTCACTAGCAGCTCAACATAGTCACAACATTTCACACAAAGAGACAACAGGGTCCTAGATAATCTGACAACAGAGTTACAGGGAAAACATATTGTATTTGATTACATGAATCAAAATATCCAACAAGTCGATTGACCACTAGGGGCTCTACAGAAAGTGAATAAATTACATGAATCCATTGTGGATTCTACATCAGAGGTAAGAGGCAGTATAGCAGAATGAGTCATGAATAATTATGCTACTGTAGTGTTGGTGCAGAAGAAGACACAGAATACATTGTGTGTGTGGGCAAATACTCTTTTAGTTATTGAACAGGGACTTCAAAGGCAGCAAGAAATGCCTCAAGAAATGCCTCCTCACAGCAGTGTGGCCCGTGGCAGACACCACATTACATTTCGGTATACGTTTAGCAGCAGCATTAAAATACTGTGTGAGGGCACTTACTCACCTCTCATCATTTGTGTTATAAAATCATCAGGGGTTGTGCTTGCCTATGCAAAAAGTCTAAATCTGCATAATCTAACAGTTACTACACTTTCCATTGTAATAGCCCCCACGTCTGCCCAAGAATCCCCCACCTGTTGCCTCTAAAAAACACACGATTGTCAGGGTAGGACAATCATCGCCAGGTATGATGCGTTCCATCTCTCTGCCTGAAAGTGATCAAGGGAGTGGAAGAGGGGAATATCTTAATGTGATGGTAAGGGGCTTACACCATTTTGTACTAAGTTCATAACTGCTATCAGTACATAGATAAATACGCTGAAGCCTATGGGCAAACACATATAAGTGTTCTTATGTGCTCTCCAAGAGGAAGAATGGAATGGACAAAGAAGAGAACAACCCGACACTTCAGAGCATCACTGAAGCTCCAAACCCAAGTGACGTCCAGGTTATGGAGGAGGAGAAAGTAGATAAAAAGAGAGTAAGTAGAGATACTGATTCTCTTAAAAATTGAGGTGCCAGAAGAGGTTCTTAGAGGGTTCTTAGAGGGTTCTTTGAAGCGATGCCAAAGAAGAACTACTTTCAATTGAGACTTGTACAGCTTAATACAGTGTACATGTCCAATACTAATAAATTATGATAAATAAACCAAATGGGAATGTTTTTCTCTTGAGTAATGTCATGTTCTAGATAAGGTGGAAAAGCTGAAAGACATTAAATGTCATTAAAGACGTTAAATGAGATATTTAGCTCATAGTTCCTCGCCTGGTGGACAAGAGAGAGCAACCTTTTAATTCAGGCAACAAAAATGGCAGTTTACAAGTAAAAGGATTTTTAAATTTAAATCAAGTATTTTGTTTGGTTTATACACTATATTTGAATGGTATTGGACATGTACACCATATTGGGGCCTATATGTCTTAGCAGTCAGAGTTCAAATCAGACAGCTGAGATGTCGAGGAAAAAAAACAAAGCAAACTTAAAACCTAAACTGACAAGCATTACAAGCTAAAGTATACTGCCATGACAGGAAGGAAAAGCCAACAGCTCCTTGATTTCTGAATTATGTGCAAAATAAAGTCCCGTGATGATGATTTTCTCCTGTAAAGACTGACATCTCAACTGTAAAAACAAACGTGTGGCACAAAAATTTTGCTTTGCCAATCATGCTGTGTTAGTTTTCTGCAGAAGTGGCCACAACCCGTTTTTGCCATTTCCCTTTAGAATTATGTACAAAACACACTCCTGTGGAGTTTAAACTCACAAAATGAAACAAAAATGCAGTTTTACACTTGTTTTAGAGGCCTCACAGTTGAACTGTGCATTTTGGTGCTTCAGTAATGTTGACAAAATATATTTTGATAGAACTGTGTATGATTTACAAACATGGAAGTGCACTAGATGTTCGTCTTCATAGGTGAGCAAGTAAGTCAACATATTAAAAGTGTTTTTATTATGTTTAAATGCTATTGTTTATGTGATGTTGACATTAAGGAAGCTGTGGTTTTGTTCCTGGCACAGCTGTCTTTGTGGGGGTTCTCACCCCTCCCCTTTCACCCCACACTGCTCACTAGCAGCTCAACATAGTCACAACATTTCACACAAAGAGACAACAGGGTCCTAGATAATCTGACAACAGAGTTACAGGGAAAACATATTGTATTTGATTACATGAATCAAAATATCCAACAAGTCGATTGACCACTAGGGGCTCTACAGAAAGTGAATAAATTACATGAATCCATTGTGGATTCTACATCAGAGGTAAGAGGCAGTATAGCAGAATGAGTCATGAATAATTATGCTACTGTAGTGTTGGTGCAGAAGAAGACACAGAATACATTGTGTGTGTGGGCAAATACTCTTTTAGTTATTGAACAGGGACTTCAAAGGCAGCAAGAAATGCCTCCTCACAGCAGTGTGGCCTGTGGCAGACACCACATTACATTTCGGTATACGTTTAGCAGCAGCATTAAAATACTGTGTGAGGGCACTTACTCACCTCTCATCATTTGTGTTATAAAATCATCAGGGGTTGTGCTTGCCTATGCAAAAAGTCTAAATCTGCATAATCTAACAGTAACTACACTTTCCATTGTAATAGCCCCCGCGTCTGCCCAAGAATCCCCCACCTGTTGCCCCTGAAAAACACACGATTGTCAGAGTAGGACAATCATTGCCAGGTATGATGCGTTCCATCTCTCTGCCTGAAAGTGATCAAGGGAGTGGAAGAGGGGAATATCTTAATGTGATGGTAAGGGGCTTACACCATTTTGTACTAAGTTCATAATTGCTATTAGTACATAGATAAATACGCTGAAGCCTATGGGCAAACACATATAAGTGTTCTTATGTGCTCTCCAAGAGGAAGAATGGAATGGACAAAGAAGAGAAGAACCCGACACTTCGGAGCATCACTGAAGCTCCAAACCCAAGTGACGTCCAGGTTATGGAGGAGGAGAAAGTAGATAAAGAGAGAGTAAGTAGAGATACTGATTCTCTTAAAAATTGAGGTGCCAGAAGAGGTTCTTAGAGGGTTCTTAGAGGGTTCTTTGAAGCGATGCCAAAGAAGAACCACTTTCAATTGAGACTTGTACGGCTTAATACAGTGTACATGTCCAATACTAATAAATTATGATAAATAAACCAAATGGGAATGTTTTTCTCTTGAGTAATGTCATGTTCTAGATAAGGTGGAAAAGCTGAAAGACATTAAAGGTCGTTAAAGACGTTAAATGAGATATTTAGCTCATAGTTCCTCACTCGGTGGACAAGAGAGAGCAGCCTTTTAATTCAGGCAACAAAAACGGCAGCCTAATAGTAAAAGGATTTTTAAATTTAAATCAAGTATTTTGTTTGGTTTATACACTATATTTGAACGGTATTGGACATGTACACCATATTGGGGCCTATATGTCTTAGCAGTCAGAGTTCAAATCAGACAGCTGAGATGTCGAGGAAAAAAAACACAGCAGACTTAAAACCTAAACTGACAAGCATTACAAGCTAAAGTATACTGCCATGAGAGGTAGGAAAAGCCAACAGCTCCTTCATTTCTGAATTATGTGCAAAATAAAGTCCCGTAATGATGATTTTCTCCTGTAAAGACTGACATCTCAACTGTAAAAACAAACGTGTGGCACAAAAAATTTTCTTTGCCAATCATGCTGTGTTAGTTTTCTGCAGAAGCGGCCACAACCCGTTTTTGCCATTTCCCTCTAGAATTATGTACAAAACACACTCCTGTGGAGTTTAAACTCACAAAATGAAACAAAAATGCAGTTTTACACTTGTTTTGGAGGCCTCACAGTTGAACTGCGCATTTTGGTGCTTCAATAACATTGACAAAATATATTTTGATAGAACTGTGTATGATTTACAAACATGGAAGTGCACTAGATGTTCGTCTTCATAGGTGAGCAAGTAAGTCAACATATTAAAAGTGTTTTTATTATGTTTAAATGCTATTGTTTATGTGATGTTGACATTAAGGAAGCTGCGGTTTGGTTCCTGGCACAGCCGTCTTTGTGAGGGGTCTCACCCCTCCCCTTTCACCCCACACTGCTCACTAGCAGCTCAACATAGTCACAACATTTCACACAAAGAGACAACAGGGTCCAAAATAATCTGACAACAGAGTTACAGGGAAAACATATTTTATTTGATTACATGAATCAAAATATCCAACAAGTCGATTGACCACTAGGGGCTCTACAGAAAGAGAATAAATTACATGAATCCCTTGTGGATTCTACATCAGAGGTAAGAGGCAGTATAGCAGAATGAGTCATGAATAATTATGCTACTGTAGTGTTGGTGCAGAAGAAGACACAGAATACATTGTGTGTGTGGGCAAATACTCTTTTAGTTATTGAACAGGGACTTCAAAGGCAGCAAGAAATGCCTCCTCACAGCAGTGTGGCCTGTGGCAGACACCACATTACATTTCGGTATACGTTTAGCAGCAGCATTAAAATACTGTGTGAGGGCACTTACTCACCTCTCATCATTTGTGTTATAAAATCATCAGGGGTTGTGCTTGCCTATGCAAAAAGTCTAAATCTGCATAATCTAACAGTAACTACACTTTCCATTGTAATAGCCTCCGTCTCTGCCCAAGAATCCCCCACCTGTTGCCCCTGAAAAACACACGATTGTCAGAGTAGGACAATCATTGCCAGGTATGATGCGTTCCATCTCTCTGCCTGAAAGTGATCAAGGGAGTGGAAGAGGGAAATATCTTAATGTGATGGTAAGGGGCTTAAACCATTTTGAACTAAGTTCATAATTACTATTAGTACATAGATAAATACGCTGAAGCCTATGGGCAAACACATATAAGTGTTCTTATGTGCTCTCCAAGAGGAAGAATGGAATGGACAAAGAAGAGAAGAACCCGACACTTCGGAGCATCACTGAAGCTCCAAACCCAAGTGACGTCCAGGTTACGGAGGAGGAGAAAGTAGATAAAGAGAGAGTAAGTAGAGATACTGATTCTCTTAAAAATTGAGGTGCCAGAAGAGGTTCTTAGAGGATTCTTAGAGGGTTCTTTGAAGTGATGCCAAAGAAGAACCACTTTCAATTGAGACTTGTACGGCTTAATACAGTGTACATGTCCAATACTAATAAATTATGACAAAGGCAACAAAAATGGCAGTTTACAAGTAAAAGGATTTTTAAATTTAAATTAAGTATAGTTGTTTGGTTTATACACTATATTTGAATGGTATTGGACATGTACACCATATTGGGGCCTATATGTCTTAGCAGTCAGGGCTCCCTTAAAGAACTGTTTAATGGACGGTTCTTAGAAGAGCCACTTTTGTAAATGAGATGTGCAAGTGTGAAGAAACTTTCTAAAGTTTAGAGAATCCTCACATAATGTGGGTTTTTCCTAGAGCTGTACATCCAACAACCATTTAGGACTCTAATTTGTCAGAGTGAATGGGCTGTATTGTTACATTGTGAGAAAGTCAGCGGAACTTTTTCATGATGAAGTCTTATTTTTCTAGGTCCTTGTACCTCAGAGGTCTTGGGATGGAGGTTTGAGGTTGCATTATGCTTCTACACCTGCATTGCCTAATCGAATGCTTAATTGCAAGAGAGATGTTTCTACTTGGAGGAACTTAAACGAGTGCAAAGAAGACAAAGAGGTATGAAAATCTGAAAGGTCATGTATAAAAACACCATAGAAATCTCTCTAACAACAGCTGTACAGTATGTGACAGTATGTGAAATGAAAAAAAAAAACAGAATTTTTTACCCATAATCAAACTAAAACAGGACAAGAGAAGATATTTGATGTTTTACCTTTTCAACTTCATTTTTTTGTGTGAATATACTAGGGCTGCATTGATACTGTGCTCAAAAATACATGAATACCAACATTCGATGCCACCTGATAGCTTGTGATGTAAGCCTAGTGAACGCTGCCTCACTAATGAATGACTCAAGCTGACAGTCTGCGATTTTCACCTGTTTTTAAACACACACAAAAACAATCACAACCACTTATGGGTGGAGAAGCGTAGACTAACAAACAGGGGTGAAAAGTCAGCATTTGCTACCAGCTGTATACACTGGATAAACAACTGGATACTCTGTTTGACTAAAGAAAACTGAGGTATGAATGTTAATATGTTGATTTCTTAAACTGTCTTTGTAAAGTAGGCTGTGGAGAGTCCATATTGTCTTACCCATGTATATCACAGCCTGGCTTTAGTATCAGTGCACAGTGTGGCACAAGTTGGCAAAGCTGCAGCTCAGTTTCTCAGAGTGTTCTGCTCAGTACTTGGGAACAAGTACTAAAATCATGGTGGTAAAAAGTCAAGAGGAAAGCTGTTAAGCTTTCCATCTTATCCTGGACTGCTGAGCAGAACTACAGGACATGCCCATGAATTCCCTTTGGCACTACATTTCCCATAATGCCCCAGCTTCTTCACAAAAGCTTGAGCTGCTAATGTTTTCAGTCAGAGCCATTTTCTGTCTTTTTTTTTTTTAGAGTAAACAGAGAGTATGGTTGCTAGACTGGTCTGCTTGCAGTCCAGATCTATCTCCTTCTGAATCTGCATGATACATTATGAAGTGCAAAATACGACAACCAAGGCCTTGTACTGTTGCACAGCTGGGAGAATTTAACACAGTGGTAGATACGCTCCTGTCCCAACTTTTTGGAACATATTTTTATTACCATTTCACATAATGTCACAACTGGAATTGAGGTTTGTAATAATACCATTTACTCATCTGCCTCGACAAATGAGGCCCATATTTTCAACAAGACACTATTTGAAATTAACTTCTAAAATGGGGTGCAAATTAAACTATATATGTCCTAATACTTTTGGTAAAAAATAAATCGCCTGAATTGCAACTGAGAAACATCTAGTAAAGCATTTTGCTCTTTTCTCTTTCCTCTGTCAGGACAATGAAGACCTAATGGAATGGTGGCGCGCAGTTGAACGTAAGAACTGGACTTACATTCAGCTGGTTGAAAAGTTCTAAACAAATATGGATGCCTATTCTTAGATTTTCAAATGCATCAGTATTTCTTCACTTTCTACACCTCTTCAGTATTCAGCCCCTTCAGGTGTTTAAAGTACCCATAAGTTAAAATGTTTTCACTATGTGCTTTACGTACACAGATCTCATAAAACATAACCCCAGTGCTAAAATCTAATTAGCTGACCCAAGTCAAACTACTTGAATACTCCAAGTGTTTTGTTCATGAAGTAATCTTTGACTTTTATATTGCTTGGTAACCATGCCCTACTGTTAACCAACTACATTCCTTGCTATGTCTGTCCAACTTTCAGCTTAGGCCATCTGTAGCACTTGTGCTAACAGACTAAAAAGGCCAGTAGCCCAACTGAAAATGTAGAAGCAGAAAAGACAAAATGTGAACATAGGCCAATTTAAATAAAAATGGATTTTGAATACCATATTTATGTTAATCACACCAGGGAAATCCTTTAGCGACTGCAGGTTAAAGTAGCAGGTTTTCGTGGGTAATGAGGCAGAGGGTTGAGCTAAGAAAGCTGTGGTCATTCAGGACCAAACATGATCTCACAAAGAGAACGTGTCGGGACAACCATCAGAAATTCTGGGCCAAATGTTGGTGGAAACTCCAATTAAGTATCTAGATATTTGTTGCATGTGCGCAGAATAAATACATGTAGTAAAAAATAAACATTACTTCTTGCAAGAAAAAAAACAGTTTTGTTAGCTAATGAGAGCGTTTTGCTAGCTAGATTGTTTTGCTTTTTTATCAAATGTACCCCAGACATTAAAAGAACACGGACTAAAGGACAGGCTTCTGAGGGGGCGCACCCTTCTTAGCTCACTATCACCAGCTAAATTTTGAAAAGATAATTTAGTTAACTAGCTGCTCTTCTAATTGCCCTGTAACTTTGCTTTGTCTCACTTTAAGGTTAGGTTATGTTACATTATCTGGAACTTCAGCATGCTGATAAAAGACTAAAAGCTAGTAGATAGCATTGGTTAAGCCAGGGGGCGATTGGACTTATTTTCATTTATTAACACTCAGCTGGTGTCCTGATACTTTCAAACTGCAACGAGTAACTGTAAAACACTAAAAAATCACGAAGCTGAAGACAGCTTCTCGGTCACCAGCTTCTCGGTCACCACATTCTTGTTCGAATTTTCCGTTCCACCTTAAATGACGCAGCAGTTACATTCTAGCACCTCAAGCAACATTTAAGGTGGAACGAGAAAATTCAAACCAGAAGATAGTGAATGAGAAGCTCCTCAAAAAAAGTCAAACATTGAAAGACACAGAAAGAAACAATTCCACTCTTGAGGAAAAGTTTCCTGCTGGAGATGTGAGAAAAGTGGCTATAACTGAGCTAAAGCTTAAAGCAGAGCAAGTAGGTCTGTGTTTTTATTATATTTTTTAGCCTGTATTAGTACATCAGCACATACTGACACATATTTACAGCCAAGATGGTAAAATGGACATAAAATGTGGCTCCTGAGGTGGTTTGATTTTTGTTGAAAGGCCAAAATGGCTATTCTTAACATTTGGGTTGCCGACCCCTGGGTTAAGCAATGACTGGAGGGCTAAGAAAATGAGGGGAGGATTGGAATTGCTTTGAAGAAGCAGAGGCTGCAATTCATGGGCCTCCAAAAACATTAGAGTGTATGCAAGTGCATACCATGCAACTCGAACGCTATGCCAGTGTTGCCATTATTATTAACAATACGTTATTTATTGAACAATGGTTTATTTTATCACATTGTATTTTGTTACCGTTTCCTAAAAGCAATAAGCTTTGTGTTTACTGTGGTAAAAACACACAGGCTCTGGCTCAGTAGGCCAAAATACTAAGCAGCTGCTGTCACATTTCTTTTAAAGCATAATGTCATAGAAACACTATTCTGAAATATGGAACTCATTCTTTTTCAGCATGGGGAGCACCTCCTAGTGATCACCTGCACTCACAGGAAACAACAGGAAAGTAAGTGTCAAACAGAGAACTGTAGGACTTTTGATGTGTTGTCCACTACAGTCCTACAGGAGCATGCACTTTGTCCTAACATGTTGCATGATGTTTTGTCTCTCTCTCTCCACAGAGTGTACACAGAGAAAGCTCAGCGAGTGAAAAAAGCACTTCTCCTTTATGATTATCTCCTTTCTGATCGTGGAAATGCTCTTTATGACCTCATAACTGAGCTGATAGATGTGGCTAAAAATCTGGACAAAGTCTATAAAAGGGCGAAGATAGCAGGCATCACTGGGGGTACAGCAGGGGCAGCCGGAGTTGCGGCCGCAGTGGGAGGGGTACTACTTGCCCCACTGACGATGGGCGCTTCATTAGCAGTGGCTGCAGTTGGAGTCGGTGTAGCGGCTGCTGGAGGGGTCACAGGAGCATCTGCTGCCATCACCAATAAGGTCAACACCAACATGGACAGAAAGAGGGTGGAGAAAATCCTCAATGGCTACACGACCCAGATGGAAGATGTTGAGAACTGTGTGCAGTTTATCAACACAGGCATGGAGCACCTGATGAGTCATAAGTTGCAAGGGGTGGATGGGGAGGTGGAGAAGGTGGCAGAAGTGGACCCAGTGGTTTGGGTGAATACTGGAACGATCAGTGCAATCAGCAAGTCCTCAGGTGTCATTCAAGGCTTTGCACTGGGTATGGACATGTACTTCACCAAAGACGACACCCAGAAGCTGAAGAAAGGTTCAGAAACTAAATTTGCCAAGCAAATTCGTAAGCTGGCTCATCAGATGGAAACCACCCTTAATGAGCTAATGAAGGTTAAGAATAAGCTGGCATCAGCAAAAAAAAAGAACATCATATGAGTATATAGTTAATGTTTGCGCTATTCTGAAAGTGTCTTGAATTACACTACATGTATAAAAATTGGTAGAAACCTCCTCAAGGCTTTTTCCCCTCTTTGCTGCAGTAACAATGTACTTTTCTGGAAAGGCAGCATCCACTTTTTTCATAGCTTCAAACTGTCTCCAAATATTAGGTGAATGATATTACTGATGCATTTGTCTTTTCAGATTTAAAAAAAACGTGGCAGGCAAATATGTTTATAAGCTAGAACAATAAATTTCTTTGAAATACTCAATTTACTGGGCTTTTGATTACTCTGTTATACATGATTGTCACATGTTCCCAAATCTTCTCAGCAAATATTATAACTTATTCCATTTACAACACTGTAGTTATATCAACACTCACCAGAATGCTGGTATGAATATCTTACATATTTTAGTAGAACGATTTATCTATGTCTGGTGTTTGGGCCCCTTTCTGCTAGTGGGCCCCTTTCTACTAGAGTCACAACATTTTACACTTAGAGAGCCAAAAGAGTTCTAGTTAATCTGAGTTATGGTGAAAATATTTTATTTAATTGTATTTCTTAAAAATATTTGATGAGTTGATTGGCCACTAGGGGGCCAGCAGAAAGAAGAACATTAACATGGCTTGATTAAGGTGCTACATTGGAAGTCAGAGGCAAGTGACTATATAGCAGAATGAGTCACGAATAATTAAGCTAGATTTTGGTACTGGTGTAGCAGCAACATTCAAACACAGTGGAAGTGCACTTACCTTCTTCATGTTATTTATGTCATACGATCATCAGGGGTTGTGCTTCCCTCTGTAAAAAGACTAAATCTGCATCTTCTAACAGTAACTACACTTTCCATTGTAATAGCCCACGTTTCTGTACCAGAAGCCCCCACGTGTTGCCCCTGAAAACCACACAATTGTTGAAGTAGGTGGACAACCATTGCCAGGTATGGTGCGTTCCATCTCTCTGCCTGAAAGAGATCAATTGAGTGGAAGAGGGGAACGCCTTATTGCGATGGTAAAAGGGGCTTACATCATTTTGTACTAATTACATCATTTTGCACTAAGTACACAATTGCTTGTACATAGATAATACACCATTTGCCTGTGGACAAACGCATATGAGTGTTCTAATGTGCTCTCGAAGAAGAAGAATGCAATGGACAAAGAGCAGTACCTCACACAGCAGAGCATCACTGAAGCTCCAAACGCAAGTGACCTCATGATGGACAGAAAAACAGTTATGAACACAGTGAGTAGAGATACTGATTCTCTCTTCTTTTTCATGATAAGGTTTTATTTTTCTAGTTCCTTGTAACTCAGAAGCCTTGCAAGATGCAAAATGTTTCTACTTCTTGGAGAAGCTACTTAATTATTTTTTTTTAATATACCCTTATTCTGAAATTGATGCCTGTACAATGCCTGTGACCGAAAAATCTTTCAGAAAAAATGCAAGTTAAGACTGTACTATGCACAGCAGAAGCGTGTGTACAATGTCCAGAAACACCTCTGACTTCTCTGAACTCAAGCTCATCTAAAATGGACAGGTGCACAATGAAAACGTGTTGTGTGGTTTGAAGGGTCAACTTGTTTATAAAAACGAGCCAAAGTTTATAAAAATGTGTTCTCCGAGCCAAAGAAGAAAAGGTCCATCCAGATTGTTACCAGCGTAAAGTGCTACAGGCAGTGTCGGTCATGGTGTGGAGGAGTATAAGTGGGTAATTTGCACATCTCTGAAAGCACCATTAACTCTAAACACATTTTGGAGCAATGCTGCCTTTTACATGCCGTCTTTTTCAGGGACACCCCCATGCTTATTTCAACATGACAAAACCAAGCCACATTCTGCATGTGTTACAACAATATGGCTACGTATTCAAAGACTGTAGGTGCTAGACTGGCCTGCATGCAGTCCAGACCTGTGTCCCTTTGAAAACATAGCCCACAGCTGAAGACTTGCAAACCGGAAAAATGGCAAAAAAAAACTTGTTCAAAACTGAATCGACTGATGTCTTGAGTTGCCAAAGTGTTGTTAAAAGGAAAAGAGATTTCACAAAGTGGTAAACATGCTTCTGTCCCAACTTTTTTGAAATGTGTTTTTATTAGCATTTTGCTTGCTGAGGTTTTTAATACCATTCAGCATTACCTGCCTTGGCAAATGAGGCCCATATTCTCACTGAGACACAGAATGTGAAAATTAACCTATAAATTAAGTGCATATTATATGGTATGTCTCCTAATACCTTTTGTAAAACTGCCCTTATATTAGGCTAGGAGTGCATCAGTATTTCTTCATTTTCAGCATCTCGTCAGTACTCAACCCCTTCAGGTGTTTAAAATATTGTAGCATGGGTGGTCTCTCCAAAGAACTTTGAGGAGTCAAGGTTTTGGTCTGCAACTTAATGCAATTACATGGGAACAGCATACAAAATAAGCAAATACTCAGTGCTATGACTACCTCAAAGCTCCAACTCTTAGCATTAGCTCTCCCTTTGTTTACAACTTCCACTGTGAAGCTTTCTACGGCCACAAGCATCCGTCCTGAAACTGGCCCTGCTCTTCAGAGTAGTCCATAGCAAGACTGTGTATAACAAATTAACTACATACCCTAAAATAGGCATGTAAACATGAAAACAGCCATGCACTGGCACTACAATATCTACAGGTTAAAAGATTTCCAGTATGTGTTGTATGTACAAGATCTACAATATTTAATAAAACATAGTTTCAGTGCTAAAATCTTAATCTTTTTCTTTATATTGAAATATCACTAATAATGGCTGCCCTACATTATGAAGTAGCATAAAAATTGTAAATGAAAGTTAAAGAAGTCAGATGCTTCAAGTAAACAATAGAGAAAAGCTTGAATAAAACAGCACCAGAGCTGTGCTTCAGGCTGAACCTATGGCTTATATTGCGTAACAGTTAGTGCATTGTATGATATTGAAACCACCAGGATTGTGAGCCAATGTCAGCAGCACCTGAAGTCACAATGCTCTAAAGTTTCCTGCTCTGGGCTGTTGCACCGTGCTGCTGACCACCTACAATATAGTGGATGGATGGAGAAATCACTCTATTTAGTTAATAATGAGATGTAGATTACAATATGTTCTTGCTTTTCTGGGTTTTTACATCATTTTAAATGAATGTTATGGTGTGCTTGACCAAAACACATCAGAAAAGTAACAGTAATAAGCACAAAAATACTCATCTCTGATTGAAGAATGACTGAACAGTTGGCCTATTTGGTTACCTTCCCCGGGAAAGACCCCAGACAAACATTTCCTGTAGATTAGCTGGTAATCAGGCCTCTCCAGTAGAGTAACCTTGGCCCGCTTCTCCTTGCAGAACTGGTTAAACTCTTTGGTTTTCAAATATGGAATGCACACTTCAGGTCTTTGCCAACTAGGTGCCAGCTACCTCAGTGTGACTTAGATTTGACTGACCTTATACAGTGCAGGATAAATAAGTATTCGGTAGTTTAATACACTTTTAGTGCATACATCCACTGCAAACTGCACCTGGTGTCATTAAAAAGACATTTGCCATTGGTTGGGAAGATTTCACACAATAAGTAGCCATCATGGTGAAGGTGAAGGAGCCTCCTGAAGATCTCTGGGACAACATTATTAACTAACACCCAAATGGAAAAAGCTACAGAGCCACAGCGAAAACAATCTCTGGTAGCATGAACAGTTTGATCGTTTGCAAGTGGAAAATTCAGGCAGGTGTGCCATGAAAGATTTCTCTCAGACCACTGATAAGGAAAAGAAAGAGCAGTTGCAGGACAAACTGAAAGCAGCAGCAATAATAGAGGTCATGTTGTGCAAAACATGAAATTTATTATTAAAATGATCAAAAAAAGTCCAGAACTCTTCAGAGTTTCAGCAAACATAAATCCTGGAATCTTTTTGTAACTCAAAAACAAAGGTTCGTGAATGCTTCTTGGCTTAGAAATATGGTTCGAGTCAAGGTTTCAATTGGTAGAACCGTTACATTGTGTAGGCTCTTCAACTTCATTTATGAAAGTGTTTTTAAAGAACCCTCAAAGGAACAAAACAACCTTTTTTGGTGCATCTATTTTCACGATTACAGGTGCTAGAATTTGGTCTTTCAGGTTTTAGTGCTTCAATACTAACCCAGCAGATTCACTACTAACAAAAACTTTGCTCAGTAGAACCCCAGAGGCAAATTTTTTTTCCATATAAGTAGGTGTGAACTACTATTTCAGGTCATTGCACATAGTTTCTCTCCGAGTTGTATGCGCAGTTGTCCCATTATTTCAACTGAACTTTAAAGTGAGGGTTTCAGAAGGACCAGGATTTTGGTGCAAACCAAATACTTTGCTTTGTTGCATGTCAACAAAAGGTTTATTTCTTGGAGATAATATCAGGTATCCATATTTTTCTGCCCTGCTGCCTTGTCCTGAGGGTCAGCTACTACTATTCAACCCTACTGAAAAGAACAGCCTGTATCCCAGCCTGATGGAGTTCATGCAAAGAGTGAGTTACAGAATCCAACTCTAATCAGTTCCACATAAAGATAAAACATGAAAGTATAGAAACTAACTAAACTTTTAGCTCTCACTTTTAGTTCTCATTTTGAAAAATATGCTAAGCTAACTTAAAGCTAACAATTTCTAACCTAAGTACAGAAACAGCTGCACTTACACTTCTAAAGAGCCTGTGTCCTACATTTTTCTTGCATTTTATATTTTGCTCTTAGGTCCATTTATAGCGTTTTGGTGTTATTATGAATTTTTACATTATTTTTTTCCAACTTCTCTTTATCTCATATAATTAAACATGCTGTGTTTGTTACTGTACCTTTAAGACTGATGTATGTAAATGAATTCTGTGCTTATTGGCTGCCTTGTATTGTGATTCATTCAAAAAGCAGTCAAGATTGAAACACTCCTTATAACTTCAGCATGAATGGGCAGAGCTAAACTGGAATATGTAAATGTCTTTGTTTTTCATCATACAATAGACAATCGATTCAAAGCAGGCTCTTTATATGGCTTAGTCTCTATATATGGACTGTATAGTCTGGAAAGTGAACAATATGCCTGGAATGTTTAACACTGTTTACATACTACATCATATTCTTTTATTTCCAAAAAAAGGAATACGTTTTTCATGATATGGGCCCTAACATTCTTAAAAACCTTTAATGGTAGAGCGCTCACGTTTCTTACGCTTTCAGAAGGTTCTTCACATTTCTCAGTACATCTCAGTTCAAAAACAGTTGACAGCTGCTAACTCCTTATTGAAACATTTGGCAGGGAAATACTGTAAACACTTACTGTCATACACACAGTGAAGGTGGTGTGTAATGAGCTGTTCATCTTTTCAGTGGGGCCATGGTGCAGAGCTTCGTTCTAAGGGTCAGCTACTGCCTGCCTCCTCTCCTGAAACTAACCACTTGTATCCCACCCTGGTGCTGGAGACAGAAACAACCACCACACAGAGAGTATGTCAGAGCAGCACTACCTGATTACACCCACACACACACACACACACACATCATCTAAACCGCTTATCCTTCTGGGTCGCGGTGGGATGCTGGTCATTGAGCAGAAGGCAGGATACACCCTGGACAGGTCCATCGCAGGGTAAACAGACAGACAGACAGACAGACACATTCACACTATTCACAATTTAGCATGTTCAATTAGCCTGACAGCATGTCTTTGGACAGTGGGAGGAAACGCACGCAGACACGGAAAATCCACACAGAAAGGACCCTGGCCGCCCGGCCAGGAATCGAACCCAGGCCCTGCTGTGAGGCGACAGCGCTACCCACTGCCTGATTAAACTTACAAAAGAATTTATATAAATAGCCATCTGGCTTATACCCAAAATTTGCAGTTGTTTAAAAATGTTTAACATTCTAATTCTAAATTAATTTACTTTATAAATTAATTAATTAATTAATTAATTTATGTTTACAGGTGATGCTGACATACAGAAGCCCTTCACTTCCCTCTCATTAAGATCCAGTGGTATGACAATCTTACATATGTCTATGTAATTCACACTTTTTTAAACTTACAGTACTGTGCAAAAGCCTTTCATTTATTTAATTGCCAGTAAAAAAAAGTTAATATGTGCAAGTTATTTATTTTTTAGGAGATATTTATGAGGAGATTAGATGTGAGATAATACACTTGCATAAGGGAAATTAAAAAACAGGATTTTCCACAACTGGAATTATTAAGATACAGACAAAATGGGACTCTTAACATCTGTGCAGGACCTGCTAGACCACCAAAATTGTCCCCATTAGATAAACAGCACTTAAAGCTTTCATCTTTGAGAGAGAGGAGAAACTGAAGCTGCTTCAGATCTGAAAAAAATCCACTGTGAGAAGACAACTCTCAAACTCAAGCGCCATGGGTCTGAAAGGATGTGTAGCTGTCAAGAAGCTCTCACTGAGAAAAGGAAACGGACACATCAAACAAAGAAGCTGCTGGTGTTCTCAGAACAATGGACTGACCACCCCAGTTCAGACCTCAAGATCACTGAATGTGTTTGGGATTAGTTTAATATAGAGAAGCACAATATGCAACCAACTTTCTGCTCATGGTGAAAAACGAATAACTTGTACTTTGTTTTGACTGGAATTTAAATAACTGTAGGGTGGTCTCTTTTGCACATTGCTGTATATTTACAGTATATTTACTGTGTATTTACTGTATCAATATCAGTTAAAGAAAAAAGAATCTAAGGGGGCAAGAATATTAGCAGAACAAGTTATAATATATAATTTGATGCTTTCATACTTAATGTTTTTTTTTTTTGCTATAAAACTTATACATGAAACATGTAATATAGACACTATGCACTTTGTAAACTATGCTTTTTAATTACAAATCTTTTCGTGGTGCCTTTTCTCCATTAGGTCAACTATGGCATGAGACGGCGGCACACAGTGGGATGTGAGTAATTTGGCTGACACAAAAGAATATTTAATCTAATTTGTGTTGAAATATGGAGAATAACAGAATAGTCTTGCTTTTTGTTGTAGCATGGGAGAATCATTCAAATACTCAGCACACAGAGGACTTTGAGTAAGTGCTGAAAAAAGTATCTATTATTTCGATATCAAGTATATGTGATGCTTTAGGCATTAACTATTCATTGCTTATGTGATGCCTATAAACTAGAATTAAATTGGTTGGGTTCCTTGAAGTGATGCCATAGAATGAGGTGTATAGTCATATGCAATTGGTCATACATTGGTCAAGTGACATGTTTTGTTGATTTTCTAAGTGATTATAAGTTAACATATCCTGCACAATTTCTATTTGTGAGTTTAACATATTGGACAAAAATATACAACTTAAAATGTGCCATACATTTTTTGCACAGGCCACATTTTATGCTTTATTCATCAGCAAATTCAGCAACACAAACAAGACTGAAACGTGTAGAAGTGGGTTCTCTGTAGAACATGTGTGAACTTATTTTCACTCAACAAAGCATTTCTTGTGACCAGAGGCGTCTAAACTTTTGCATACAACTGTATATTAGTGGAACTATGCGTGTAATACTCTTCCTATCTGGTACTTATTTACTGACATAATTTTTTATGTCAGTAAGGTTTTAGAAAGGAGGTTAAGAGTGTCCATAGAGCTATTCCTCAGTATTATATTCTAATGGAAACACATGGAGATACTCTTCAGTGTCTCATAACTGAGCTGCTGGAGGTGGCTGATAACCTGGACTGGGTGTTTAAAGGTGCAAAGATAGCAGGCATCACTGGGGGTACAGTAGGTGCAGGCGGAGTGGCGGCCGCAGTGGGAGGGGTACTACTTGCTCCAATGACTATGGGTGCTTCGTTAGCAGTGGCCGCAGTTGGGGTTGGTGTAGCGGCTGCAGGAAGGGGTCACGGCAGCTTCGGCCACCATCACCAATAAGGTCCACAACAACATGGACAGAAAGAGGGTGGAGAAAATCCTTAATGACTACACAAACCAGATGAAGGATATTGAGAGCTGTGTGCAGGTTATCAACACAGGTATGGAGCATCTGAGGAGTCATGACCTGTCCGAGTTTCATGGGATGGACAGTGAGGGGGTGAAGGTGGCGAAAGTGGCCCAGGTGGCTGGAGGCAGTGCTGGAGCGATCAGTGCCATCGGCAGGTCCTCAGGTCTCATTCAAGGCTTCGCGCTGGGCATGGACATGTACTTCATCAAAAACGACACCCAGAAGCTGAAGAAAGGTTCAGAAACTAAATTTGCCAAGCAAATCCGTGAGGTGGCCCAGCAGATGCAAGACAGCCTTGACGAGCTAATGAGGGTTAAGACAGTGCTGGCATTAGCAGACATATAGAACATATACATCATATGGGTATATAGTTTATAGCTGGGTTATTTGGGGAATTATTGTTCTGAAAGTGTCTTTACTGCCTGAAACAGTTCCATGGAAGTGTAACTCGAGCCTGAATCGCTTTTACTGTTATGTCAAGGAAAATACCTAGAGGGCAGCCTTGTACCATTTACTATTGTTGTCTGTATTTGAACTCCTGCTGAGGCCACGAGGCTGTGAATATATAACAAAATAAATATGATTCTTTTAAAACATGTGACTGATTTCTGACTCTTTTACATTTTTTCTGCAAAAAAAGTCATTGAGAAGCGTATGTATGAGAATGGTTGTCAAATGATGGGTAGATATAGTAAAATCAAAGACCGGTCCTTTGTTTCTGCTCATGTCTAAACTGAGTTTGCTGCCACCAAATTTTGCATGAAGGATACTAGTTTTTCAATCCAACGTTATACAGAAGCTGTACTTTTTGCGTTTCACATCAATATACAGTGAAACGAATACTTTCCTAACTATTTAAATTTAACCATATTTGATACTGGATCTCTTTGTGTCCTGTTTTTATCTTAAATACTGAATTACACCAAGTTTAATTTAGGGTGCTTCGCAGCACACTTGTATTGTCAAAGCTTGAATTTTAAAAACTGGGAATATTTCACTATAATTAAATATTAAATTGGTCGCTGTAGTGTCCGCGACACCACGCACTTTTCTTCAGGGCTGTTTTGGAACTAATTTCTTTACGCAATATGCCACGGCCTGGTGATCCGCCGAGCCAATCAGAAAAGGCTAAAGCCTGCGGAGTGACACACGGATGTTTTCTGGCGGAAGGTTATGCGTGGGTGTTGTGCGTGAATATATAAAGTCATGTGACAGGCGCACGATGTTTCTTCCTACTGCTTCGTCCTGTGGATTCGCATCGTGTTGGGCTCTTAGCTCCGTGCTCAAAATGGCAGTCTAGCGGCTTGCAGCGGCAAAACTCGCAGCGGCAGATCCTGCAGTGCAACGGCTAATTGCACTGATTCTATTTGGCAAAATGGCGTAAGTAATATTTACATTTTATTTTGGTACGTTAGGTAAGGTGGGGCGATTTAACGTCGACTGACGTCGGCTTCTTTATCAAATTTTCCGTTCAACCTTAAGTGATGTGGCAGTTGACATTCTGATGTGCGAATGGTAGAATGGCCGGAACGTAACTGCTGCGCCATTTAAGGTGGAACGGAAGATGAAAATAAAGCTGACTTATGTTTCGTCCGACTGAACCATATGTCGTCACAACTTAACCGTTTGCGAGGAGTCTAATAATCAGACAGGCCGTGTGGTCATTTTAATAATTTTAACGACAATTTTTATTTTGTCTGCGACGGAAAAAATACAAAGGTCTAAAATAATGAGTTAGACAGCGAGTTAATTGTTGTATTAGCGTTAGCAGAGATGCTAATGTTAGCCGTATTTGCCGCGTCCGCCATTGCCCGTCCCGGTTTGATTACATTTTTAGTGCGCTTTGTGTCCGTTAGCTGTCCACTTACAACCTTCGTACAAGCTATTGAACTATTACTGTGGCATGGCGCCGTGAAGGAGAGAGGACAGCCACAGGGTCAATCCTCAGGGATAAAAACAAAAACACTGCTGTCTGTTAACAACCAGGCAACGTGGCACTGTTCAAAATGGCGCACGCGCTTTTTTTTCCTCGTGTTGGTTGTGTTGTGAAAATGGCGCGGGCGCCAAGGGCACGGCCGCGTCAGTGGGCGGAGTTAGGGATGATCCGTGACCAAATTAGGAAATCTTGTGACACATCATGGGCGGGGCTTTCCTGGCAGGACCCACACTTTAGAGACAGTGGCTGATTACAAATAGTAGCAATGAGATTTTTTGACAAGTTACACAGAATGACAACATGCATGTTTTTTTATTTTTAATTTAACAAAACACCCCCGAAAAGTTCCATATTGAAACGTGATCTTTAGACATCTGGAATTTGACTTTCCTCTGAAATGCCAGCGAACTGTTTTTATGCCTCATGATCGTCTACCATTTTGTTTTTTGTTTTTTTTTTTCTTTTTTTCAAAAGCCACTTCCTTCCCATTTTCAGTAGAACAAGTCATCAGTAAAAAACTATTCAACTTTGGACAAAGCAAATTGATCAGTCTTTTTTTGTTTTTTTGAAATCTGAACTTTAGCATTAAAAAATTTCAATCTGCATGAAATGCCTTGGGCAGCCACGAACTGACTAAACTTGTTTGACCTGTTCAGTCCACCTTTTTTTATTCTTCTCCACCCCCCACACATGTTGAACTTGACACTTCCTAATTCCATTTGAAAACCAGTGATTTGGCTTTTGTAACGTTTTCTCATGTTTGGTACTCAGCCTGCATCACAGTTTATGTTAAACACAATTAGAGAACCTCCATGTGGAAAGCAAACGTGTATACACAGATTTACGTGTCTATTGTTCAGTCACTAAACCCTCACCCTTTTTCCCTCTTTTCTGTTTTTTCAGGTCCTTTGAGGCAACCACCCTCAGCTTTGCTGCCGTCGACAGCATAAGAACCTTGCTCGACTTGTCAGAACTTCTGTTCTCTTTGACTCTGTCCCCATCCCTGCCAAGCCACCATGTCTCTGAGCTCACAGATGTGCGTGGAGGACGTGGGGCCCCTGCTCTTGGGGCCCTCGACTCTGATGGCTGACCCCTTCGGGCCCCTTCTGGACGAAGATGAAGAGAGAGCTCTTTCCGAGGGGTCGTCTTCGCCCCTCTCCTTCTCTTCATACTCTGAATCTTACACCTCCTCCCCGTTCTCCCCCCTTTCAGCCCCTGCTTCTCTAGGATGTAAAGTTGGGTCTGACCTGCTGCCGCTCTCCTGGCTGTCTGCTGATGAGCAGAATAATGCTCACGTCGGGGCAGATCAGAGAGAAGGTGAGGTTTAAGTGTAAATAAAAACAGTTCAAGGTACTTCCTTCACTTGCTGTTTTGAGACACTTGCCCAATAAAGGAAATTAATCAGTGCTCCTGAAATGCATAAGTAAGACATGTTGAAGTGTTTTATTGAATACACAGTGAGAAAAAGCAGTTTATCAATAAATCAAAATCTTGTCTTGCAGGGGATGCGTTTTCTGGCATGGACTGGATGACGGAGAAGATTGATCTTAGCGACTTCGACCTGGACTCGCTCATCGGGTCCTGTGATTTAGATGAGCCCCCTAGCTCACCAGAAGAGCTGCTTGCCTCCCTGGAGTCCCAAATGGATCTGGACCTGGCTCCGCTTCCGTTCCCCTCGTCATCCACCTCTGAACCGGAAGAGCTTAGCCTGCCTTCTCTTCCCCTCGACCTCCCTCTCCCAGAGCCACCGGCGGACCCAGAGGTCCGTCCAGAGCCCGTTTCTGTTGAGATCAAATCTGAGCCACTCTCCCCTGCCTTCACTCTGGAGCTGGGCAGCGAAGTGGACATCTCCGAGCTGGAGAAAGCTGTGTCCAAGGCCAGCAGCGACCATCAGACCCCCAGCATTGTTCTGTCCCTTTCTCCCGCCCACATTGTGGTGGTTCTTGCTCCCAAAGAAGAGGTGAATGTCGTGTCCAGCTCCTGCGCAGACCAGTCTGACAGCGGGATTGAATCAGTCTCTGGTTCCCCACCTCACAACCCAAGTCCCGCTCCATCTCCCAAGCCTGCGGGTGCCTCTAGAACCAAGCCGTACTCCAAACCAGACCCAGATGCAGGCCTGACCGTCGCTGGTAAAGTGAAGACTGTCTCTGGTACGTCAAAACCCGTCGACAAGAAGCTGAAGAAGATGGAGCAGAATAAGACGGCAGCAACCCGCTACCGGCAGAAGAAACGGGTAGAGCAGGAGTCCCTGAACACAGAGTGTTCTGACCTGGAGAGAAGGAACCGTGAGCTGACAGAGAAGGCTGACTCGATAAGCCGAGAGATCCAGTACCTGAAGGATCTCATTGAGGAAGTCCGGTCTGCCAAGAACCGCAAGAGCAAGGCCAAGGCTGACTCTCCCTGAGATGACGGCAGAGGTGCTTTTAGTGAAGATCAGCTCTATCAAAGTATAAATAAAGGCACTGTATCTCAGTTTCTCACCCCCTCACAATTCGTAAACGCTCAATAGTTATAGTATGTCATTATAACATAATTAACCATAGCTTGCAGTTAATGTGGATTAGCACTATAGCAATGTAAAAGCTAACATGCGCACAATCAAACAAAAACATGACCAGTGGAAATGTCACCCCCCCACATCTCTAATCCTGTCACATATTTCACCTCTCTTAACATTGTCCAGTAAGGGGCCTGATACGTTTATAATGTATTGTTACACTGAATTCTGTGCTCATGCATGTAAATAGCTTCAGCCACTCTTTATCTCTATTTAAAACTATGGTATGTTTGGTTTGCAGTTCTAGTATGCCATTGTCTCAAATTTCTGTGCTGTTTTCTATTAAAGCTTTGAAACTGAAGTGTTGTGTTTGTATTGCTTTCACAAATAAGGAAGTTTGTAGAGCCAACTTATGAAAACTTATGTGTGTCTGAGGTTTTTCAGATCTTGCAAATCCTGACATGCAAGGTGGCCATGGCAAATACAGTAAATGGTAATGAAACTAGGAACTGAAACAGGTGTTTCCCCTCTAGCCTTTCGTGGGTTTTTTGGGTAGACGTCTGTCTCTGAATGCGGTAGTGTCGGAGTGGGAGTGGAAGGTGAGCTGCAGCTGTGTAAATATAGCCTCAGTAAAAGACGTCATTGCCCGTAAAACTTGGTATGTAAACTCTGGTCTTGCAGCTGCCCTCGCTCTGGAGTTCTCTGCTATTTGAGCCTCTACCAGTTAGTTACGCTTCAAGTTACAGTCCCCTGTATTTGCCCCGCACATACAGAGAAGCTGAGCAGAAATAAAGCATTAAAACCAAATTGTAGTGCAAGAGAACCAGTAGTACCAAAAGACAAATACACTTAAGTGGAAAAATACTAAATAAAATCTAAATGTTTGATTTATATTGAAGTATTTGAAAGCACAATTAGTTACATTATTTTAATAGTGAGCACAATTTTTTTCCCATGTCTGCAGCCACACCAGTCTCCTTGATAGGAACTGTTCAAAATAACTCAATACTTTTTAAGTAGCTTTAAAAGCAAGTACTTTTGTACTGGTATAAATATGCATAAATATGAACGTCATACTTCTACTTTACTACAAGTATTATTTCACTGAAAGCTTCCGTTTTCACTCAAGTATGGACCTTTTGTTCCAGCAGAGCTGGAGATGGGGGAAACCCCTTCAAACGTGTATTCAATGGAATATTCTAAATCTACACAGCAAGTTTCTTGGTAACATACAGACCGTGGACTTGACTGCCTCAATACTGTTCCTGCCAAGTGCCTTGCATTACTGAATGCATTCTGCAGCAGATGGTTTCCAAATTGGATCAAATGAACATGTGGCTTCTTCTGACTGTACATAGTAATACAGTGGCCTACAGTTAGCGTGCACGCGCACAGCTATATTTACCACTACCAATATGGTTCGCAAGCTCTGTAGATAACATGGGTGTGATGTTTAGAATAACAGCACCATCACTCAGCGTGGCACAAAAAGTGCTCTGACTATTGGTATCCACTTTCAAACAGAGGACAGGACCTACAAGAGAGCACCTGAAAAAGTTAGAAGAGGTCTTCAGTCTAATTGAGGGGGATTATATTTAGTCCTTTAATCAGCTCAGTCTGCTGAAGCAGGTAATTAACTCAGTGGCTGGAGGAAAAGAGCTTCAAAGCTTGGGGTGGAGGAGACTAATGAAATTTGACTCTCGTACAGAGAAAGAGAGACACACACACATGAGAATCACAAGACAGCAGTATTGAGTGGGGATAGCCCTAGGGCAGTACCCCAACCCTGCTGCTGGAGTCCTGCTGCCCAGGACATTTTAGTTCTCTCAATAATCTTTTACAGAGTTGAGGTGAGCGGGTTAAATCATGGTAAACACTAAAATGCGCAGGGCAGTGGGCCTCCAGGACCAGCGGTGGGATTACCAGATTCATCATCTGTGCTTTAGTCCTACATATCCTTTTCAATAGAGGATCTCTATTTAGCTAGAATGCTGTGTGGGAAAGCTGACCCCATGTATGACCCTACTGACCCTGTGTGTGATCATATTACAGCCAAAGAGGTAAACAAATCAGATGAGTTAACACATTTAAAGGCACAATTACTGTTTATTTGCTAAATTAAAAACAAAATACAGCCTGTGAAAAAGTTGGCACAATTTATATTTTATGCTTTATTATTTTTTGCTAATATGTGAAGCTCAGCAATAAGAACCCTACTGAAAAAAACAACATAGACCAGCATGTTTATGCTTGTTGACCAGTATATCAGGATCCAAAACACAACATATGCTGGTTTTGCTGGTGACCAGCCACACTGACCTATGCTGGATTTTCAAGCAAGGTAGAAATTGTACACTAAAATGTGCAAAAAATGATGAAATGATATTTAGGTTTGTTCCCTGAGGATGCGTTAACTTATTTTCCCTTAGAAAATCAGTTTGATTGGGGGTGCTGAAACTTTTGCATATGTCTGTAGATAGATGGCCTATGAATTTAAACTTTTTACTTGATTATAGATTGACTGTGAACTAAGGGATCTGACACAAGTGATGCTATTATGAGGTAATTAAATACAAGGTAATAACAATATGACGTAGTTTGAAATTAATGTAATAAAAAATGCTACTAAAAATGTTTTAACTAGTCATGCTCTGCATATACAGTTAGACCGACAGGTTTTAAAAATGCAAATTAATGTCAGTGTCAGTCCACCAGCTTGGCGCTGTTTGTGTTTTCGCTTGAGGGGACTACTGCTTTGATCTTCTGACATGGCCACGCCCCCCAACAGCTCTGAAGAGCCTTGGGTGAGAAGCTGTTGGAAACTGGATTCCTGTCATGCTTGTAGTTCTATCTTGGACTCTGTTTGTAGTGAGTTTGAACTTCATTTAGACAATGTTTTATTTGCACTCTAAAAAGTGGTGTTAAATAACAACACATTTACTTTGACACTTTTTGTGTCATCATTTTTTCTGGTTTAACACATTCTGTGTTAAAAGTAACTCAAAATGTGTTGTCACCAACTGAACACACTGATGTGTTTAGAGACAGAACATGTCTTTAACACATCTAATTTTAGATTTTATTTTTAATGTAATCTAATTATTTTACTGGCAGAACTACATACATATTTCTGTTGTCGGAAGAAAACCTTGTATCTCCATTTTTGACGTTTTCCAGTTTTTGACATAAAAATGCCTGTTGCCCTTTACATTGTGGGTAAATTTCAAGATGAAGGGACAAAAAGAAACGGCCCAAAATGACCCAGAAGAAATCTTGGTTCCATTGACTTACATTAAAAGTAAAGCATGTTTTTTCCTTCTCCTGTTACCATTTTGGAGATACGAGGTTTTGTTCTGACAGTAGCGATATGTGTAAGGTACAAAAGAGTAGACCCCCGTTTTATCTTTTTGTCAAGGATATTGGGGGTATTTCACAAAGCAGCACTCCCCAGTTTAGCCAGATAACTTAAAGAAGTCAAGCTGTCCAATAGAAAAAGAGCTGAGGGACATTTGGACAGTCTCCATCTTTGGGTTTATCTGGCTAACTAAAAATCCTGGGGGTATTTTACGAAGCACTTAGCCAGAAAACTTAAAGATGTGGACTGTCCAACAGGAATGTCCCTTAGCTGATTTCCTATTGGACAGGCTTGACTTTGGGCTTAAAGTTAACTGACTAAACTGCTTTGTGAAAAACCCCTGAAATGCCCCACTGAGTGTTATTTGAAATCTTTATCTACCTTTTACAATAAGAAAGCTGTGAAAACCTGAACTCACTGTTCTATTTATGACATTTTTGTGTCAATAATCTGTTTCATATACTGCAGATTCTCCTGTTTATGTTTCTCTGTGTTGGTTTATTTTCTGTTTACAGTTTTAATTGGTTGTTTGTTTGTTTGTTTTTTTCTCTTTCTCTCCCCTGGCTGTGTTTTTAGTTATACAGTATTGATCCAAACTTGTTACAGTGTGATGTCTTATATTTCTATTGTTGTTCTATGTACAAATATTTAATTTAAAAAAAAGCTGGATTTTCTTTGAAGTTTACATTTTATTACGTAATTAACACAAGATGCTGTGATTTTACACAGAAAGTGGTCAGAATGCAGTTTATTGGCTCTGAAAATACGGTTTACTGCCTCAGATGGCCTCCTGGATTCAGACCATCTCCCGGTTGTATGTATGTAGTATGGAAAATAACCACTCATATCCCTGCTGAAGAAGGACTATTAGAAACCGTTCGGATTTAAACCTAATGGTTTTGCTTTCTAAAGGGAGCTGGCTTTATGGTCTCCAGTAGGGACCACTAGATTTCTGTAGAGCCGTGTTTCTCAACCCTGGTCCTGGAGGCCCACTGCCCCGCATTTTTTAGTGTTTTCTCAGCTCCCAACACACCTGATCCAACCAATCAGCTCTTTAACAGCCTACCGTTGAGTTAAAGTGGGTGTGTTAAAGCAGGTAAAACACTAACGTGTGCAGGACACTCGGCCTCCAGGACCAGGACTGAGAAACACTGCAGTAGAACACCTTTAGATCCCATTAGGAAACCATCAAATGCATTCAGAATCAGTGAATGGTCACCTGTTAAACCATTAGGATCCTTTACACTGTGATATGAACCTATTAAAAAAGCCAAAACACGATACAAAACTATCAGGAAGCAACAGAAACACTTAATGGTTTCTATGTTTTTTTTCAGCAGGGATCATAGATCTGTGAATTAAAGGTCCACATTATCTCTAAGTTAAACTGTGACTCAGAGCAGCTCAGCTCAGTCAGATCAGCTCGACCTGAGGGATTATCAGCGGAGTGAGCAGCAGGAACAGGCCGGTTCAAACCGGAATGGACTGGCTGCTCAGTCAAACAGGCAAAGTGGGAAGTAAAAGCCGCGGATAGCCGGAGGCTGCAGAGCCGCACTCACACTTACACCACCAGTAAAACACGGTTTATTACAGCCAGCGAGTTAGTCAGCTACTCTTCTGTGAAAAACAAGGTTAATATATTTCACTCAGACCCAGTGTAGAGCGCACCGTTACAGGAGGAGACACGTTTTTATTAATCTGTTCATTTGTTGGCTCATCGGCCTCTCTTGTCCACTCTGAGTGATTCTCACCGCGCCCTGCCATTTACGAAATGCCGTGCGGCTGGTTTTCTTCTCTGAAGTTTTTCCGGTATGGCTGGCAATGCATCCCAAAAAGAGTCGATTCTCCGATTCCAGGAATCTGGGAATCGACTCTGTTTGCAAAGCTTTGGTTTCCTTTAATTATTCGGCAGCCTTTATTATTATTGTTTTTATGTCCAAACGTTTTTCAGATGGTATTATATATGGAATGTCTTTCCAAAACACAGATTCTGAAATAGTTATAAATGTTATTTTATTGTTGGGATTATTATTTTTTATACATAAAGTAAGAACACAGCGCCATCGTTCTACACATACCACATGTACTACTTCAGAACCTTAGAGTACATGAAAAGGAAAAATAGAAAAATACTAAGATCAATTTATGAATATTGTTTGATAGATAGTCCTTGGAGAAATGTAATTGTCTCATTTCTACCACCCTCCCCCTTTTTTTATTTGGCTTGTTTTTCATTAGTTTATTTTGTTTGTACTTCGCAGTTTAAAAAAAAAATCCACAATACACATCAATAGTCTGGCTGTAGTTCACTTTGGATAAAGCAAGTAAAATGTCAAATTGTGTAAAAGGAAGTTGAGTCAATGACTGTTTAGCAAGTCCCCGCTAGTCGGCCAAGTTCATTTAGCTGGAGTCAGCGCTCCAAACCGCCTTGCTAAAGTCATAAGTCAAATATTCAACTGTGTGGACAACTGAAACAGCAGCACATTAAGTATAATATTTTAAGATCCCTTTGTCATTCATACTAATCATATCAGTGTATTATCTACTTAACTGGCTCCATCTCTCTGTCTTTGTTTTTGGGATCAAAACTATCATAATGTGGAATCGATTTTTGGATTCGACTCAATCGATTCCCGTCACAAGGAATCAGAATCCGTGTCGACTCTAAAAACTCTGGAATCGAACGCCTCTGCTTTCCGGGTCATCTCAGTCCAGGGTTGCCAGGTTCACCAAAAAATACAAAAAATCTCCAGTCACAAGTTTGCTTAAAACCCACTCACCAGAAGCCAAACATGCCCACGTATGTGTCCAGAAATAAATATTTAAAGAAATATGGCGAAAAGCTTCCTTCTTCCCGCTACTGCCCTCTCTTTAGGTTGCCAGCTGTTCGACACCAGGATCAACATACATTCATTAGAAGATGCATTTTCATTTTCATTGCATTTCACTGTCTGCAAAGTGTCTTCTTTTTGGTGACCGCGGTAAATTTGAGAAAAGGAGCACAAATAACTTTCACTCATTGCTGCATTTTCAAACTATGTAGTTTGGAAGGACAACAGCGAATCTAGCAACCCTCAGAACAGCGTTCGGGCACTGTTTCCACTTTGTCCGTGGATTATAGACTTTTGGTGCCCCCTTGTGGACAACAGACGAAGCGCAGCTGTTTCTATAATCCTCCAGACCAGCTGGGTGCGCAGTTTCCACCTGCTTTGCCAAACATCTGCATTATAAAAGAACAGAACAACTTCAAGGGAAGAGAAAGTTACATTCGTCTTTTCGTTTTTAACTCGCTGAGCTTCATGAAAATCGGGTTTAGAAGATCAGCATTTTGGTGTCTCGTGCTGGCCAGTGTTGTACGCAGGTGGGCTACTTCGCTTAATACAGCTCCTCCAGGGAGATTCACTCGAAAGAGGCCCCGGATATTCTGTAATAACTCTCGCTCGGACGAGGCGATCTGAGCGAAACAACACGCAATCTTCTCAGCAGGATGGTGGTGTACAGTATTGAGCAGCGCGTCTTCATGGTGCGAACCTATTGGGTCACCAATTCGTTTAAGCAGTGTCAGAGTGAATTTAGGAAGAAATATGGTGTTCGTGACGTACCCTCAAAGAGTGTAATTCAGAAGATGGTACGGAAACTGGAAACGACGGGATCACTGATCCCTTCTCATGGCGGAGGCCGTCCGAAGATGTCGCAGGACACAATCGATGATGTGCAGCATCGTCTGCAGCAAACGCCCTCGAAGCCTCTGAGACGCCTCGCGCAGGAGACCGGGAGGTCCTACTCAACATGTCAGAGAGCTGCAAAAAGGGCAAAACTGCACGGAGAACGTCCGAATGTGTCTGGCAGAGAACGGAGATCACTTCCAGCATCGCATGTAATGCAATCGATTACACATACGTTAAGGTATGTGGCGTATTTGCTTCATCCTAACGGGAATTACAACAGAATATTCGGGGCCTCTTTCGAGTGAATCTATAATAAGTGTATAAGTGTATAATAAGTTCACTACTAATAGGCACTACATAGACCCTTAGCATGATTAAGGGTCCTTTGCATCGTGACAGGGTTCTTCAGATTGATGGAGAGTGTGTTTTATATGGTTCTATATGGCACCAAAAGGTAAAAGGCTTGACATCTTTTTGGTGCTATATATAGAACCTTTTTAAAAAAAGGTTCAATATAGAACCATCTACAGCACATTCAATCTGAACCTGAAGAACCATTTCATGATGCGAAGAACCCTTTATTCATGCAAAAGGCTCTATGAGTGTTCATGGTTTTACATAGAACCATTTTCTATTATTAAAAGAACCCTTTTTGGTGCTTTATAGAACCATTTTCAAAATAGAGTCATATACACAACATTCTCCGTCAGTCGGAAGAACCATCTCACCATGCAAAGAACCTTTTAATCATGAAAAGTAGAACGTTTCAAACTTTCTCCATAATTAAATCGTCAGGGTCTACACAAAGTCGTTTAGAGCGATGTGATGTATAATGCACTGTTCTAGAGAAACTTGCCAGGTCGAAATTGTTTACAGTGATGATGGGAACCAGACGTCCAAAGAGTCTAATTCCTAGAAGAGCAACCTTACAGAAAGTTATTATAGTTACAAGTTTAGTTGAGAATACAGGGTGACTCAGAAAGATTCATCCGATTTCAAAGCGCCATATTTTTACAACCGTGAGGAGCCTATAGGAGCCAATCACATTCTAATTGAAAAAGGGGGTCATAGAGTTTGGGACTGTCACCGGAAGATGGCTCCCTTCAGTCTGCGAGGGGACGGCGACCCCTGAGCTGAAAGCGTTTTGCGTTCTCCACTTCAATAAGAGTGAATCCTCATAACTGTGCAACATGATTTGCGTCAGCAGTGAACCTCCAACAGCTCAGAGTGTTCACTGTTGGTTCCACAACACTGGATGATCTCCGAAAGCGCACTGAAAGAGCCGTAAGTGCAGTGACACCCGACATGCTCAATGGAGTACGGGATGAATTTAACTATGGCGTTGTTGTTGTCCATACAGCTGGAGGAGGTTCATATTGAGCACTTGTAAAATTACATAATAAACTTTATGCTCATTTAAACCATTTACAATTAACTGCATTGTTCTGTAATGATTTACAAGTGAAACAAATCATTTTGAAATCGGACAAATCTTTTTGAATCACTCTGTATTTACCTGGAATGTATTTTTCAGGGCAGAGAGGTCCATTTAGAGTGTTATTAGGCAAAACAGTACCTAAAGGAAATTTAGATTTGCTACTATCAACATGAGATAAAACTCCAAAGACACCTGTAGGTTCACTGGTCTTTCTGGATAGTAAATAAAATGGCTATATTTGTGTTGTACAGAAACCAGTCTGTAAGTTTCTCTCCAATGAACAATTTCACACCAAACCACTCTGAATGACTTTGTTTGTGTCTTAACCCCTGAATTATGCAGAAATATTGAAAAAACCTGTGGAATCCTCTTTTAATACAGAACATCAGCCACAATGTCCTGTCTGGAGAGGCATGTGATTTGGAAGGCAGGGGAACTGGAGGCGTACCTCCATCCTTCTCCGTGGACCCCAGGGGCCACAGTCGTAACGTATAATCCCCCTAGAGGAGCCAGCAGCCTGTTCCATTTACCTGAAGACTCTTTCCTGAGCCTGCTGTTGGGCGCGAGGGCGGTGGGAAGCCTCCTGTGTGAGCGGCTGGGGGTGCAGCGCTGCGCCCTCGTCCACACGCCTCAGAGTGAGGAGGTGGGTAGAGCGAACTTAACCCTAACTTAAATAAAAGAGTTCTTACTGCACTGAAATAATGGCTCAGGTATCAGTCACAGTAGTCTAGCACTGAAGGGTAATATACCAGAGCATGGCAGAGAGAAAAAAATAGAAATGTATGAAAAACACCCATTTATAATTTCTGTGATGCAGTATAACCCAAAACCCCAAAACACTGGATTTTAAAAGTAAAATAGATTCTAAGATTTAATGAGAAAAATGTTTTTCAGGATTGCAGCGACATGAAAAAGGTGACATAATTAAAGGTAAAAATAGATAAAAATAAAGAAAAAATTATTTCAGCAGGTTATCACATTCATACAAACACACACAAACTGATGTATAAGGGCTTAACTAAGACAAGAGTGTAAAGACAGTCAGCAGGCGTAAACTATGGAGAGAGAGAGAGAGAGAGAGAGAGAGAAAAAGTAAGTGGTGGGAGTGTCTTCGCTGTCCAACACAGACTTGGTCAAAGCAGTTGTACCTTTATGCAAATTATATATAAATCAGACTTAATCATATACGTGACTTCTGATGCATTATATTACAGTCAGTACTATCATCATCTCTGTGATTGATCATTAGGGTGTAAAACTTAATACTAAGGATTAAGCAAAAGAATTGGATGACATTAATCAACACAGCCCAGGGGGCAGGGTCAAGTTGGTCACCCTTCACCCAACTGTGTGAAGTCCTGTACCATCGCCCATCAACATATCTGGTAGAACAGATTGGCGAAGGACATAAGCACGTCCTTATCTCATGTCACAGCATCCTTCTTGAGGAACATGTCACATGCCCCACAGAGACACAAAAGCCGAAGAACTAGATGTAAAAATACATTCTTAAGAAAAAATTCTGTATTAAAAATGTTATTATTTAATTAATTCAATTATGGGGGATAATCTATATCCCTTCAGCACAAAACAGCAAAGGGGGCAGATCTCTGTAGAACTGTAGTGTAACTTTAGAACCTCCAACATCTATCAGCACAGGAACTTAAGTTTTTAGGCTCTATTCTTTATTTTTTTAATCCTTTTGGTCTAAAATAAAATGCTAAATCTAAATAGCAGAAGTGAGCAACAGTAGGTCAGGAGCTGAACCAACACAAAAACAACAGATGTGATGAAAGATTACTCTTAATAAAAGCTTATTATATTATAGAGCTCATATTATACATTTTCTTTACATATGAGTCCACTTATGACGTTGCTTTTGTCTATCGAAAAAAAGTCATAATTTGTTTTTGCACATTTTACTAACCTATCTTCATCCCTTAAAACAAGCTGTCGTTACTCTACCTTTAATGTAAATGAGTTCTGTTCTTATTGGCTGCCCTGTATTGTGTCTCATTCAGAATGCAGCTGGAGCTAAAACACTTCTTATAGCTTGAATAGTGTGAATGGGTGGGGCTAAAGTGCTGTAGGCTTCAGCCATTCTTTGTTGGATATGTGTAAATGTGCTGGTATTTGTGACATCACATTTTTACTGTAGTTTAGTTTCCATATATAGACTGTATAGGCTGGAAAAAGAATGGTCAGGTTTGAAACTTTAGATATGTTTACATACTACATCAAACCCTTATTTTTGGAAAAAGTGGAAAATTCCATTCCACAGTTTTCCATGATACAGGCCCTTTAATGTACATTAAAATAGATATTAAAGTTACCATTCCAGAGACTTTCTTTTGACACTGATACTGCCCACCTTTTCCAGCACGAGGACCCCACAGTGAAGCTGCTGGTGCTGCCCCTCCATGGCCTGCAGGCGGACTGGACGCCTCATCTTGCAGCTGAGGAAGACTTCCAGCCATATGATCCTGGATACATTACGTCGAAGAGTGGCCCACGATGGACCGATATAAGTTTGGAGTGGGTTAAGGACAGGATCCGGGCAAAACTACCTTCCCCAGATGCCCCTCTTGACTACACTTTCCTTGGAGACCCGTCCCACCCGGGCCTGTTTTCTCGCATAGTTCGTGGTGAGGAGCAGCAGTGGAGAGTGTGGGAGGACGAGGAGCACATTTCCTTCCTCACTCCGTTCCCCAACACGCCTGGTCTCACTGTCCTCATTCCCCGCAAACCACTGACCAGCGACATCCTCCGGCTAGAGGAGGGGGATTACAAAGGTCTGGTGCTGGCAACCCGACAGGTGGCTCAGCTGTTGGAGGAGGCGTTGGGAGCGTGGGGGGTGGGTCTTATATTTGAGGGATATGAGATTGACTACGCTCATGCTAAACTCATTCCTCTGGTGTCACCACCTGACAACATGACCCAAAACCTAACGTGTCCAGCGCCTGAGTTTTATGACATATACCCCGGCTTTGTGACCTCAGCCAGTGGGCCTCTGGCCAGCACTGAGAGCCTGAGAGATATCCATGCCAAAATTACTCAGGTGTGAGAGATTTCTTTTTATTTTTTTTTTAACTAATTTTTTGTGCCAAGGTGAAGACAGTATTGTGTGTTAAAGGGCCCATTTTCTTACTTGCTTAGAATACAAAGAGTGATACAGTGTGTAAACATTTTTTTCCAAAACTGTTCCTTCCTCAGTCCATGTGGTCCAATTATGGAAACTAAGGTGTATTTAGAATTCATTGTTTTTTGTGACGTCACCACAACCAAAGAAAATTGATATCTATCTGCCTATTGAGCCTACAGCAGTTTAGCTCCGCCTATTCATGTCAAAGCCTTAAGGACCCTCCTGTGCTAGTTTTTGAAGACACAATATAGCCAGCCAATCAAAACGGAGATCTTTTATGTACGGTTGTATGCATACAATTATGCGTCTCTGGTCAAATACATTTTTTTTTTTGTTACATTTTCATAAGTACACATTCTCTACAGAGAACACGCTTCTTATAAAAACATTTAAAGCACAATTACTGTTTATTTGCTGAATTTAACATAATGGGGAAAAACATAAAACATAAATTGTTGCTTTTGCAAAGGTTATATAAAATATTTAGATTTTTTCAATATGTTAAACTCAGCAAAAAAAAAATTGTGCACTAAAATTTGCAGAAAAATGCCATATTTAACTTGTCTTCACAGAAAAATCTACAAAACATATAATTTGACCGAAGATAGTGCAGCTTTTGCATATGACGCAAAGTATATAAACCGTATATAAACCACACAAGCTATAAGCGGACCTTGTGGGAAAATAAAATACAAGAAAAATGTAGGATATGGGCCCTTTAACATGTTTTAATGAAGTTCAATGTAGAGGTGGGCAATATGACAAAATATAATAATATTTGAAAAAATGTACAATACATAATGCATATGATTATATTTTGTCATTTGATAAGTTGGATCAGTGCACTAGAAAAACAGTATACATATATGAGTAAAATTGTATTATGATCAAGAAACAACTCTCAGCATCATTGCCATTTGAATTAGCAGCCTTAGACAGCTGTGATTCTTTAGACCTCTTTAAATCTCTTTTTAATGAAAGAGTTGATCAGTGCTATTCAAGTACTGTCAATACCCACAGTATACTCAGAAAAGAAGTTTATTGTGATGTAATTTATCACAAAAATGTCATATTGCCCACTGCCACAATACAGAAGGGCTTTTCAGCTGTTTTCATATGTAATTTGTATTAATGTGAGTTAATACAACCTGAAGCATTTCTTATCCATTCTGTATTAATGATGAAGCTGTATGTAATTAGTTCAAGGGCCCATATCTTGGAAAACCTAAATTTCCTCTCTTTTTTGAAATGTTAGTATGTAGTTTGATGTAGTATGTAAACACTTTTTGTTTCAAAACAGTCCATGTATGGAAATTAAGCTGCAAAAAAGCATGTTTTGAATTCATTGTTTCTCTGATGTCACGGAATTCTATAATACATTTATACATCTGTCTATTAAGCTCTGCTCATTTATGCTGAAGTTTTAAGGTTTTTGGATGAAGCACAATACAGGGCAGCCAATCAGAACAGAGGTCATTTACATATGAGTCTTAAAGGCACAGTAATGAAAACAGCCTGTTTATTTATAATGGATAAATAGAGGTTGTAAAATGCTCACTTCGAAATTAATTACACTTGTTTTTGGTACATAAACCAACAAAGATATCACAAGTGGATTTAGAGGGACAACATAGAATGCAAGTATAATGTAGGATAAACTATTTTGTTTAGCAATCAACTGCAGTAATTTGCATTTTGGGACCAAAGTTCAGTCCTGCACCAATAGAATTTGGTGACCCTGTGTTTACATACACATGACTGCAGGCTTAGATAAATAGACTGTTTACATGAATGAAAAATGATTAGTTTGAATATAAATGTAACCAAGAAATGATTAATAGAAACAATTCATTTTAATTGGATTGTGTTGCAGTTGTATGCATGTAACATGACAACTGTAGTGTTCAGAAGTTATAATCCATAATAAGCATTTATATTTGAATGACTGAGAAATTGTAATTTCTGGGAAACATACTGAGTTCAGCTACTTTTATATGTATTATTTGAAGATAAAATTGATTATATTCTCAGAACAGTGACACTCATCCGGTAGAGGTTTCCAGTAATGAAATTTTCCATGCTGTATCACATTATTCTGCTACAGCTATACTGCATGTTGTACATATTGAGAAAAACCAACGTGTGCTTATTATATCAGTGACATAAATGTGTGTTATTATATAGTTTGAGAAACATTAACACGTTTTCTTGTTTCTAGTGCTACTAGGTGAAATACCTTTTCCTGCTCTAAAGTCCTTAATATTGTCAGGTCACAAGAGCAGCTAATTGTTTTTTTCATGTTAATTAGACAGGCAGCGTCACCTATTTACACAATTACAAGCTTGCCCCATCTGTGGCGCCTCTCTGAGCGCACCTTGACCAGCTCCTAATTAATCCCCAGACATTTTAATTACCACCTTAAAAGAGTGTAATTAACCTGTCTGAAATTATGGCATCACCACAAAGAAAGAGGGCAGAAAGACACAGTGAGGAAGAGCATAGAAGGCAGAGGACCTCTGATCACAGCCTGGGAACCAAGGTATGTTTTACAGAGACAAACTAACCTTATATGACAGCTTATCATTCAGTTATACATGCTTCAAATTTTCTTAGTAAAGAAAATGGTTCTATATAGAACCATGAACACTCAAAAAAACATTTGCATGATTAAAGTTTTTTTGAATCCCTAAAGGGTTCTTCAGACTGATGGAGAGTGTGCCAATAATAGAAGAACCCTTTTTGGTGCCACATAGAGCCATATAAAACACATGCTCCATCAATCTGAAGAACGCTTTAATCATGCAAAGGGTTCTTTGAGTGTTCATGGTTCTATATAGAACCATTTTCTTTACTAAAGAACCCTTGAATAGCCATCTTTTTTAAGAGTGTAGCTTAGCAGGTTGTTAAGCAAGACTATTGACCGGGACATTAATATGGATTGTTTGTGTTCATGCATGTGTTTGTTACAAGGCAACTGCAGATCTCCATGGAATACCTAGTAGAAGTTACAGTGCTGTGCAAAAGTCGGAGACCATCGTTCATGTATTTAATTTCTATAAATTTATAAAACAGCCATTAAGTACAAGTTATTCATTTTTCAGCATCAGCAAAAAGAAGACAACACATTTACCAGAAACATACACAAAAGCCCCAGCAACTAACTGTAATTTCCATTTTTCAGTATTTAGTGTGTCCACTTGTTACCTGTATTACAGCATCTATTCTTTTCAGGAGACTCACTTTCAGTTTTTCAAAGAAATCTGCTGGGATATTTTTCCATACCTTCAAAGTTCAGTCTGAGAAGTTGCATTTTCTGCTTCTTACAATCCAGGTAACCACAAACACTGGATTCTGGAGTGGTCAGTCCATTCCTCTGAGAACGCCAGCAGCATATTTGATTTGCCAGATTCCTTCTTCTATTCTATTTCCTTTTCTCAGTGAGGCTTCTTGAACAGCTACACATCCTTTCAGACCCATAGCGCAGTGTTGTCTTCTCACAGTGGAAGGATGGACAGAAACACCTGTGGATTTTTACAGATCTGAAGCAGCTTGATTTTCTCCTCACATATTTTTCCTTGACTTTCCCCTTCCTTACGCAAGTGCACTGCAAAAAAATTGTATCTTGTCAAGTGAAATTATTTTAATTCTAGTCGATCTACGTAATATTTCTTATTTTGAGATGGTTGTGTATTTATTATAAGATTATCTAGCATATTTTTAGACATTGTTTACCTGTTTTAACTCGTTTTATCAAGTAAATTTATCTCACAATTTTACTCGAAAAGATACCATGTTTTGCAGTGTGGATTATATATGGAATCTAAAATGAATTACTTGTACATAATTGCCATTTGCACAGTACTGTATATATATTACATTATGCACTAATGATATCACTTGAAGGTCAGCGGTCACTCAGAGCGTGTAGATGTTCTACCAGCCTTTTTCTCAGTAAAGTACTTAACGGTAATTCACTTCAGGCAACTGACCCCATAATTTGTTTGTGCAGTTAAATATCACAATAATATGAATCATGCAAGCAAAAAAAGAGTGCAATACATCTTACACCCCAGGTGGCACACTCTTCAAAATGCTACCTTGAACGAAAACAAGACCCTTACCTCAAATTGTGTAACAGCCAAAGACATGTTTTAGTTTTGAGCTACAAGCTAATATTTTGGCTATAAGATGCTGTTTTAGCTATGCTGCTTTTGTCCAGTTTTACAGACAGCAGAATATCATACAACTGGACATGGTTTGAGGCAAATGTGTGATGATTTAGGCTTGAAGTTAGCACAATCCTAATTATTTGAGGTATAAGCGTCCATTACTTATTGGCTACATTAGCCTTGTAGCTCCAGTGCAAAACTAAAGAAGCAAACTTCAGACACAAAAAGATGTCACAGCACAACGTTACACTTGAGTTACGACTGACAATTGACAAATATGATTAGAATAGCCTCATTATAAAAGAAATCCCAATCTCTGAAATGCGATAAAGAACAAGGGAAAATGTTTTTTTTAGTGCAGTTCAATGGAAATTGCTAGCAGGATTAGCGATTCATAAAAACCTAGATGGATAGCGTGAGTAGTAGCATTATTGATTTGCACAATGCTAGCTATAGGCTAATCACTTTCATTCATTATTAGCAGTGTTAAACAAGCTCTAAACTTGAAAAAACACTTTGTTTTCCGAAAATCTTATCAGTCCATTTACCACAAAATGCTCACACAATGTAAACGGTCAGCTTGTGATGTTGGAAAAAAATTCTCTCATAATAACGACTAAAACAATGCTAATCTAAGATTAGCCTCGCATTGTCGAAATGATCATAATAATTAAGACACAAAAGCTAAGAAACTGTTCATATATCAGCACTCATGCACCTTTCAGATGCTGACATTGGTGGGTTTTTTCTCTGGTCTTTGCAGGCATGGGCAGCAGGCCCGTCTCTCCATCTTGCTGATGTAGAGCAGCGGCTCGATGGTGCAGCTCAGGTCCATGATAGAGAAGACAGAGATGCTGATCTTACAGCTTAAGTCCACGAAGGAGTAGGTGGAGGCGAAGGGCATCAGGGCCACGGGCGGCAGGTAGTTGGCCACGATGATGGCCAGGACAATGATGACCATTTTGAAGGCTTTCTTCTTCACGGGGTTCATGACCTCTTTGCCCGCCACGCTCTTGCGCAGCACCCAGATGATAGACAGGTTGCAGAAGACCATGAGGAAGAAGGCGGACAGGATGAGGCCGCTGAACACCTCGTTCACGCTCATGACTCCCAGGATGCTCTTGGTCAGCGCGTAGGCCAGGACCAGACCCCACACCACTGCTGAGACGAGCGCCCGGATACGGTTGTCACGGATGCCGGTGAACACGATAGGATGGACCACAGCGATGTACCTATTGGATAATTAAAAAGCATAGCAAC